ACTAGCAGACTGAATGACGACGTTCAGATGAAAGAAAAGATATTGTAGTCTTTTCTTTTTTATCGTAAAGTTATTCTGGAAATCTATGTTAAATGATCAAGATGGTAACACCAGACGGTAATAAAATAACAAAACAAATCTGGCACTAAATAAATATAAAATCTGCATCGGTATTTAAAAACAAAAATTAAGCATAGACAAAACAGAGAGCATATAGCAGAGTGACTCAATGGCGCGCAAACATAACTGTCACATATATCACCGTATAACTGGATAAGCGGCACATATTCTTATAATATTATGAATCTCATAAATCATTGGGTTATTCTAGTTCCATGACTAATTTGTGATTCGTGAACATTGACATAACAAAATGAAATTACATATTTCATATTTACTATTTACATAGACATATTTTTGATGGCGCACGTTGAGCCTGCAGACCATTGTTATATTTTTTCTGTAATTACTGTATAAACGTTGTATTTTTTCCTTATGACGACAATAAAGAGTTTTTTATTTATTTATTTTGATTAACAAATTGTTTAGAACGTCAGTACTTTTAGGACTTTATCAACTTTGAGAATTCTTGATCGTTTTAAAATCAATATGGCTTAAGAGACCAATATATTCCAAAGAAAAACTTTAATAATTTTATTATCTATCATTCAAATTTGATATTAATCTAAGCATGCATAACTCCACTACTGATTCCAAGGTAATATAAATTCTAATATTAACATCTTTCACCGGCCTTAAAATTTCACAAACCATCCGATATTCAAACAGGAAACTATTCATTCACAGAATATCAAATCTATTACATTACCTTTTATATTAAAGTGGATTTCTCGTATAAATTATTGTCCAACGTACCTAGACCTGTATAATATTGAGGTAGGAAGTGATTCAAAATATTATTGTATTGAGGTGGGCGGACGCTCGACCTTGCTTACGCCCGCGCCCGAGGAATGTCCACTAGAAGCAATTTATTGTTATTTCAATTCAGGATCCGCGACTAAATATAACAGATTGTTTTCAACTTATTTTGTTAAAGTTATCAAAACTCGGACACTAACATTTTTCCGATGAAGTACCAGTTCAATAAATTATTCTATAATTGCGTCTACATAAATTTCTAATTACTACAACTATTTTCAAATGTCATAATAATCTATAAATAATGTAAAGGTTAATTAAATTAAGGTTTATGACCGGTTTTGACCCTGTCAGCGAGGTTAACAAACACAACTTTGATGTTTTGATAGCTCTGTGATTAGAAGATTCGCCTTGGAATCTGACGTTTAGTTAAAAATAACTTTATTGATAAGTAAAGCGAATGACTCACCTAGTATACCAATTTTGGGAATCTCCCTATTTCAACCAAAAAATTGTATAGTTGTTGTTTTTGTCATCAGTTTAAGGGTAAAAACGCCATGATTGTTATAAAATATATGAATATTCTAAAAGCTGTCACTGCAATATATCTATTGTTTTTAAATTAGCAAAGTCCCAAATCTTTAAAGCGCTGATCCGGCATTATTTTACTTGAGCTACTATTTAATGATTTCTCCGTCAATCTCTCGGCCTCAATACTTCTGAGGGCGGAACAGTGTTGTGCGTGCGGCGACAGTATCAAATCGATTCGCGACAGCCGACTGTTCCAATTAACGGCTTTGTTATCGATTACGGCACGTCTCGGCGAGTAAACGATACGTGAATCGATTATGACGCACGCACTATGCCATTTCCGGTTGTTGCGCTTTCGAGAATAGGTTATAACGGTTATTGCATAAACGAACACTAAAAATAACTTTAAATCATCATACTAGTAAAGACAGAAAAATATATTTATGTTTTTAAGTTAATAACGATTTTAATGGACTTTACTTTCTTAAATTCTTGGCTGACTGCGTTTCATCGTTAGGACAAAGATTTAAATTTTCTTATTCGAATCTGATTGATCAAGCTTATAAGTTTTTTTTAATAAAGACCTGCAAAAAGTTTAGTTCCTATACCATACTTAGTTACTTTCTTTATTGTAACACTGACCTCTACAAGTGTATTTTTATTAATAGAAGTCAGTATAATGAAAACACAAAGACTTGTTGATATTTGCAAATCACAACTATTACGGTTACGAAACAACCGCGTGCTAACTGTTACACAATACGCAACGAACTGAATCGTAAAAACAACATAAATCTTAGAACATTTGACGCATGGATGATCACGTTCAACCAAATTACCTAACATTCTTAATAACATATCTATAAATGACTGCACACATCTGTCTTCGTCGTTAAAAAATATTTAGAACACATATTTTTTTACTGCAACTAACGTTTTGTGGCGTAGTAAACTACATATTTATCTACTTTTTAAATGATTTCTTGATTAAATACATTTATAATTTAATTCCGTTACTACAGAAATAATTGATGAAGTATGATGAAAAATTTGGCGCCAAATGAGCTGTCAAATAAACCAATGTCAATAAAGTACTAAATTAGTTCTAATTGGTATTAGTTAGTATTATGTTGCTACTAATACGGTATCATACATAATTTAAATGACGCTAAACTAAACACATGAATTTAATCTTGACGCTTTGGTCAAGTTGTGTGGGCAGCAAATGTCATATAAATTGCATTTAGAACTTCCTGTTTTCCCTCCAATAATATCAAAGTGATTGCCCTTGAATATAACGAGTATTACTATAATGCATTGTGTAATTAGTCCATTTTAATTTGATTTGTTATCTTATTACAACTGTCTAACTAAATTAAAACAGTAGGTATATAAAGGTTATTATAAAAATTGCCAGTCGATATAGCCTATTTATTTTTATAATTCTAATTTGTGATATACTTTAGATAAATCTTATATCATTTAAAGTCGTAAAAGTTAAGTTTTAGAATTTAAAACGAATGTAAAAAAAACCTTGACATGGTTTACCATACTCTAAAACAGTCTAAAGCATGCTCAAACTCCTTTTATGTCATACCAGGTGGCCAGGTATTTATAAAAGTTAAAATCAATTCGATGCAATCAAGTTTTTTATTTAGGACTTTAGGTGGCAGCACCGGGCTTTATAAACGGGTCGCGCGGATTTTGATACGGCAAAAAATACCGGTAATAATAAAACGGTATTTAACGGATAAAATCGATATCAATGACTAAACTTGAAGAGAGTCCCTTACAAAACTGTAAAATTATCTATTTTTCGCAAAATAAAAAATGTGTATAATGAAATTAACAGTTCACTCTAACACAAAATAACCGCGAAAAACTGGTGAACCGGTTTCCGAACGTAAAAAAGTTGCAAATTTTTGCGGAATCGTCAAAACTTTTGACGTTTGCAAAACAAAAGGCGTCTTTAAAAACGTTAAGTTTGCGCCGAACTACATTACCTATTTATAGGGCCACGAGCTCGCAAGTTGGATCATTGTGTTGTGTGTGGAAGGTTGGTAGGTGTGACGGTAACGGGACAAACGTGTATCGTGACGAGAACATCACTAATGTTATGCCCGTTGCGGCCGAGCGGATAACCGGCGCACGCTACAGCTAGCGCGCACAAAACAATGCGTACAATTAATGAATTAAATTAATTTAATAACTACTATGTGAATGTGAAGTAAATTAGATTGGAATAAACTGAATCGTTCCTTTATATCATTGTGTTTTTTTAATAATCCAATAAAATAACCCTGTAATAAATGTATCATCTATAACTAATTTAGCAACCTTAGAAGAAATGTGTAAATTGGTCATCTATTAATTTACGTTCATCCTTATACAATAACAAAGCAACTGACAACTTAGGAAATAGCGCTGGTCCTATACCGTCTAGCAGACTAACCGTTGATTTCTGAGACCAAAGTCTCTGTAGAAAACGTACCGTCATCTCTGTCATTATCTTTGATAAAACAGAGATATCAATATGTTGTAATTTACATTTTGATCTTCCAGGTAAAAACACTAGAGCATCTCTAACTATTTACGTATTCAACAGTAGTTATGCATCACATCCTCGCTCGAGTTTCTTATAGCTTCCATTGCATTATTAATGTTTTATGCTAATACTGCTTAGATTTCCTGACGCGTATGGTATTTAAACCAAATGTATACATCGTCTTGGAAGCATACAACAAAGCGCCAATAGCCTAAAGATTAAAGGTACGGATTACCGTTCTGCAGTCGTGAGTTCAAATCCCACCATTTGACTTTCGTCTTGAATCATATTCATAGTAAATATCAAACTTATTTAAAATGGTTATGGTTAACAGAAATTAGTATATTAACAATAATTTACTAATATTTGAAGAAATGAATTGTTGAATTTAATGAGTGAGTGTCAAGAAAAGTTTTACAAAGGTATCTTGTTACTTGTAACCATAATTTTTTATTTTACGATGCTGTTATTTGGCACACAGCTATGCTGCGAAAGACTAACCTAATTGAACAAACTATACAAAGTCTCAATAACTTGAAACTCATCGTGCCTAACAATGGCACATGTTAACTTCACCACGATGTAATAAAAAGGTGCCACTTAGCAACTTTCGCCGCAAACAGAAAGGCGAAAGCATTACGGATAAAAAAAACCATCAATCAATGATACCAAGGCATGATATTGTAACATTTCAACTTTATATAACTACTGTTAGAAAGAAAATCCGACACTGTACCGGTGTACTAGTGCAACACTAGCCTTACTAAAATGTCGACGTTTATGTCCCCTCACTAATTATTCTGACACTTGACTTGGTAACGAAATCGCGCCAAAGGATACTAATAATGTCTAAAACTACATCGTTGAGGCAGCTCTTCTACGCATTTGTTAAAGCATATCAAAACGAGCACGACCTTCAGTAATGAAGTATACGAAGAATATGCCTGCATCTCTAATTTTGAACTCTAAAAAAGTACTGTTTTACCTTAGATGAAATACGTAACGTATCTGTTTAAAATTAGTGGAACAATTAATTGAGACAACTTTTTTTTAAATCACATTTAATAAGAGCGGCATTCTTTCCGTTTTGGTTTTGGTTCTGGTTCTGGTTCCTCAGGTTTTACTTCTTCTGAAAATCAGAAAGGAATATTGTCGGTAAAAGGGTAAAATTATAGTCAAGGCTGTAACTTGGATCTCAAGTTGCATGTTCATTAGGTTACCTATTACAATTTTTACTAATTTATGGATAAAATACTTTCGTTCTAAGGTTTCAAAGACGATTATATTTACAATGACATACATGTCTTTCAGATTCCTATAAGTTAAATAATTACCAATTTTGAAATATTCTCCAGTTTCAATTTGTCGAACAACTTCTCGTTCCTCTTTGGCGATGCGAGCTTTTAATTTCTTAAGTTCTCTATCGCGTAATACTTTTCTTTCGGCCTCTTCTTCCCGCCAAATATCTTCGAGTTCCTCGTATTTCGCCTGTTTGTATCTACCATAGAAAATACCCGCTATTAACAAACCATATCTCAAACCTCTAATTAAAGGTGATACGGTTTGCGGCCGACCAAACGGTAACGACATTGTAGAATTATATTTTTTAAGTTATACAAATACAGTTTCAAGGCAAAACGACAGCTGTCAAAATTAGCCATTCTTGACTTTTTAATTTTTAACTATGCCACAACACAATTTTTTTTATTGTTGGCACTGGCCAGTTTTTTAAAACGAAGCTAATAGTAAGGAATCTGTAATAGTCCAAAAGATCTTCTTTTCTTTCCCGATGACTTTTACACAAGTAACACATTTCTGTTGTATTCTGACAATTTTTAGTACTCTAACCTTGCCAGGCTGCGTGAGGTCTCTCGTTCAGAATAAAGCTCGTTTTAAAGTAATCTAAACAATCTTTGATCATTCTCGAAGCGTAAGATATTTCGCGAGATAATTATCTATTCGCATCGTTCACAAGTTCGTTAACCTGATTTATGAGAATCTGCAAATATATTGCGTACATCCCTAGCCGTCACTAGGTCAAGTGCAAGATGAAATTTTTATTTTTTTTTCTTAACGCAGAGTTTATGTTGTTAGGAAGGCCAGTGTCCGATTGAGAGCTAAGAATATACTGTCTCTTGTGGCGACCACCAATTATAGCAGACTGGCTGGGCGCCAGCCGCGGGCTGTCCGGCTGGCATTGTCCAAACCTCAGCGGAGGCGAGCATTTGTCGAATCAATCAGTCTTACGTCACTAAATTGAACTTATCGTAAAAACAAAAATGTTTGTTTCGATGTTCGTTTTAATTTCATAATATGCTAATGACCTGATTTCGATCCCTGATGTCGGAGAAAATTTTAGAAATCTTCAAGATACTATACTTCATATTCTTCTATGAATTCTGCAGTTAATTAAATTAAAAAAAACACACACGCACACACACACAAACAAATAATTTAATGAACGTATTGTCAGTGACACTTTTTTGTTATTCTCATACTCCACCATTTTAATATCTTTATACGCTATTTAACTTCATAAAACATAACTAAATTTACTATTAATTGTTAGAATAGAAAGCGTACAACAATGCCTCATTTATAAAAATACCAACTGTCGCCCGCGACACCGACCGCGCATATTTAGAAACAAAATTATGAGTAGCCTGCCTATGTTTTCTTTCAGACTACTGTTCTATGTCTATGCCGAATTACAGCGAGATCCATGCTGCCGTTCTGGAGATACCTTGTAACATCCATCCATCGAAACATTCACATTTATAATATGAGCAAGATAACACAGTATTTTACATAATGCAATATTTTTTAAAACTTCCTACTCATTATTTCAACGTTTTAGGAATTTATTACAAAAGCATATTATGAACAGTCTTCATTCAAATTGAGAATTCTATGAGCTAGTCAAAAAAAGGTCTTTCGAAAGGACACGTTTGGTATATTTGCAGGATTTGAAAAAAAAAAAATTACCGGCGCAGACCTCGCTTTAAATGCAAATCTTATATTCTTAGTTGTTATTATATTGCATCGTGTTTCCTCAAATGTCAAGGAAAATAATAACTGAGAGAAAAAAAAAACAAATCCATTTTGCATCTACATCCTCGTTACATTTTAATATGAATTTAAATTAATCTCATCGGGATTCAACCATGCTAATTTAACTAACTTATACCCATAGAAAGCAAAATTCGATCACAAATCCACTTAATAAAGTTGTTAATTTCTGACTACACTGAAATAAAAAAAACAATTAGTAGATGAATTAGATTCAAGATAAATTTTGATTTGAGAAAAATCGGTACATGGTGGCCTTAAATTGCGTGACAGGTGACGTGAAGGGAGTGACAGATAGATTGAGTGGACGAAAATCTGTGCCGACCACACATAGAAGGTGATAAGGATGTTAAGTAATGAAGTGACCGAACGATTGTATGCGCTAGTTTAGTAAATATCTAGTCACCCTAATATTGAAGGCAACAATGTCAAACCTGGACGGAAAACTGAAGATAGCAACGTGTTTCAATCCCTTGCTATACGCACAAAAATGACCATTTAAACCTCATCATTCTAACGCGCGGTACGTCATTTATCCACCTATAGATCAAAACCAATACGAATGTTTATTAATTATATTATATTTCACGATTCATTAGGCAGCATGTGATTCAATATTACCTTAATGTTTACTATTCCTAGTGAATAGATAAGGTCGTGACGTCGTGAGTTCAATAGCAACGTATTATGTTAGCGAAGCATGAAATTGTGCGTTGCGTAAGCTCGGTCGTGATCATAGGAGCATTGTAACATGGAAAATGTCACGACCTCGTGTCCGCGGTACAATCAATCCCTACTGTCTGGCTGGTTACAATACTTAAAAGCTATAACGCCTTCTTGCTTTGTTCATAACATAGAACATCGACCTTAAAAGAAAAAACCTGAGCATTATTTTTTTTTGAAAGGGAGATGGTATTACGAAAGTACAATCTTGTATTTTTTGTAAATTTTCAGGTTTTGTTGGAATTATAAAAATTTTGCTTTAGTTGGAAAGAAATGGTGGGATTGGTATAGGACTAATGTAACATGAATAAAAATATTAAAATAAATGCGCCACTAATTTATTCCAATGGTCATTATTAATTCTGTCTGGTAAATAATTCTTAATATGTATTCCATTTATATAAGTTAATTAAAAAAAACATTTTATCATAATGTGATGTATATTTTCGTCGCATAATTTAATCTTGATAAAAGACCGGTACTTTAAAGGCAGCCTTTCTTTTCGGTCGCGTCATAAGCCCCCTTTAGAATCGTCTATCTCTTTCACGCACTAACAATTAAGGATATAGCGTTCTCTTTTCACAATCATGTTTTCCAGTTCGTGGTTGTCACTTCGAGAGGGCGCTTGTTACTGTGCTTTGTTGAGCTAAAACCACAAAATAATAATTAAGTCAAAGTAAGATATCAAGAATTGTGTTTGTTTCATTACTAATTGTTATATTCAATCGCTATAGCTAGGTGATAAACGGCAAAAAACAGTACAGGTATTTCTTATCATCGATTAATTAACGTCAACCAAGGGGTGTGGTGTTTTATAATCTTTTCAACATAGTTTTTCTATTCTACTTTGTTTTAAAAGGAGTGAAGTTTCATTGTGTAAGTGTAGTGTTTTTTCGTGGTTGCAGAAATCGTCGTCGACGAAAACTACCACAATGACCACTCCAGCAAAGCTGTATGGACGAGAATTGTCAGCCTATGACGAAGTGGATGTGGATGAATTACTGTCGAAATTGTCACAGGAAGAACTCACCATGCTTGCCAAGGAAGTAGACCCTGATGTGAGTACCGTACTTTTATAACTTTCATAATAAAATCCCTGACATTGTACATCTCAAATTCCATTTCCTTAAATCACTTGCTAAAGTAAAGTTTAAATTCATGTTGTTTGATTTTATGCCAGCATATTTAACAAGGCGTAGAAAAATAACATAATTTCTCCAATGTAAGTAGTATTTAATATGGTAATGATAATATTTCAAGTAATAAACCACCAAATTAAGCAATGAAAATTGTATAACATTTGTTAAACATGATTAAATTATGATGAAAATTAAGTAAAGTTATCAGTCACATGCTGACAAATTACCAATTCTTTAAAATTAAAACAGTGCTTTTTTCATAAAAATCATAATAAAACTTTAAAATATATATCTTCATATCATTACTTTGAGCCTATCCATAATCACGAGGTCAAGAAAAATCCAGTATACTGAAAAGCAAGACATCACCCTTACATTATAATTTTTTTTATTCACTTGTCGATATCATTGACATTATGAAATGTGTGGATGTTATGCATGAAAATGTATGTGTGCACATACACTGTTTTATACAAACATTACCAAAGATATTTAATTCACAAAACAGCTGTGGAAACCAAAAATGTTATACAATTATTTAATTTCTACAAAAGTGGTGACCTTATCATTATATCTATTTGATTATCTTTATAAATGAAATTATTCAAATACATAATAGGTTTATAAATTAGAATTATTTACATTATATAATATACCTACTTTGAAAGTTTTGTTTACTTAATGTGTGTATTCACCCTTATTCATGTAGCCCGCATATTAAGTGAAGGTCTCTATAAATTCAAGGAGGCCATTTGCAAGTTTATGACCACAAAATTGAATACTTCCTACACTGATAAACAATCATTATTTAAAGCCTTGAATTGCTTCTTTTTTCACATTTATATTTCAATCAAAACCTACATATTGTTTTAGAATCTGTTACACAAGAATTTTTGCTTGGCTTTATAGTTATAATGGCTCAGCCCGCACTGGTGTGAAATACTGTCTCAGGGTAGCATTTTAAATTATTTAGGATAATTATTTATCTTACACTCTATACCAGTGGTTCCCAAATTTATTTTGTCTACTGCCCACTTTGAGAATAAATATTTTTAGCGCCCCCATATTTTTTCACATATTCAAAAACCACTATAACTTCAAATTAAATGTATTAATTATTGCGACCTATATATGTATATTAACCGAGAATTCTAAACGAAACTTTTACTATAACCTGCAGCGCCGACAAGGGGGTGTTATTGCCCACTTTGGGAAAGACTGTTCTATACCATTACAACAAAATATAATTTACATATTTTGTAGCCTTTTTGTACAACTATTGTTTTGGGATTCCATACAATATTGATTTCTTAAGTTCAATTATGTCAATCTAAGCCATATTTACATTTTATTTCTGCCTGCACATCTCAACTTATAAGTTCACTTGTACATAAGATAAAATTTTATATAAGTATGCAAGTGTACATGGAAAACTACAAATGCTTCTTGAGTAAATCATTTCGAGTGCAACTCAATTGTTTAGTATAACATAATCTTGTAAGGTCCTAATTATAGTATGTTATCAGCAAGTTCATATGATAAGGCGGTTGCATGTTTGTATTTACTCAAAAACAATACTGACTACTAATTTTAACAATATAATTCAATGAAATATTAATGTAGTATTGTTATTTTCCTTCCGTAAACCACAAATCAGAATTTAAAATGATTAATCATATTGTGAATTACTCCTTTTTACTCATGGACACAAATAGGAAAGCAAAGACTCGATTGTTGCTTAATTTAAAATTTTTAGTATTAAAATCATTATTTTACAGCATGTAATAACCAATTCACAAATTTTACACATGTTTATTTTCTACTTTCCAGGACAATTTCCTTCCTCCCTCACAGCGGAATAACTATGCGTGCGAAAAGGACCCCACAGGCCCTCTGAACCGTAAGAAATTGATAGAGCACATCAACAAACAGGCACTAGAGACACCCGATCGGCCTGAAGTGAAACCCTACGTGCCTGGAGTTATACGTGGCAAGAAGGTAACACAATACATTCTTTTTCTACACCCTTAAATATGCGCAACCTTCAGATTGATACTTACAAATAACACCTTACTTCTAAAACTGTTATTTGATTATTGGGAGTAATCTTATTGTTTCTTTTATGTTGAAAATCATTCATAAATTTGTACTTTTTAGTAGTAAAATAAACTGGCTGGTTTAAAATATATTATAACAAGGGAAAATAGTATATTTTACTAAATATTATAAATTTGTTTTATATTTGGAAGTTGAAAACCACTGATAGCTAATTATTTTTGTCGCTCTTCGATTGCCCACAAAAATTATACTTTATTTGACTTAGTTCGGTAATTTTTAGTAATTATGCCTAAAAAAGTATTTAAGTATTATACCTGATTGTTTATGTTGATCACGATAATCTGAATATTCAAAGAATAATGTCTATCAAATACTACACGAACATCACTCACGCCTGTAAACCAGAGAGGTAGGAAGAGACCAGAAACCTCTGTTTAGCGAACTCCTGACACCACTCTTGCTTCTTCTACATTCATACATCTAAGTCCTGAGTGTTTCATCAATCTTGATGGTCTAAGTCCACATTTAAATATTAAAAATATTATCTAATATATGCATATAGATAAGATAAACTGTACAGTGGTTTCCGTTGTACTCGATAGTTCTAATTGCGCTAATCAGTAAGGAAAATTTTACAACAGACTGTCTTTGTACTTATGACGTAATTGTTCAATGTCTGGCCTTGTTTCTTAGTCACGGGGCGTGGGATAATAGTACGATATTAACAATTTAAGTACTATACATTCACCATAACATGAGACCCATGTTTGATGACAAGGCAGTTTTACAGTAGCTTTTCAAAATTATGAAATGAGGAGACAAACATAATACAAGACAAATATCGTGAATAAAGGAAGTTTTAAATTTTTTTTTCATAATTAAATCTGCTTTGCCATAGTTATTTTCAGTTTGAATTAATCATTGTTTATGTCGTTTGGACGTTTCACAAATAGCCTGTAATCAGTCCACAATGACAACGACGACGTAGGACGCGTTTATATAACATTAATAAATATTCAAGGTCCTTTTAGCATGCAATGAGTATAGTAACCATTATATATGAACAGTTCGGTATATTACTAAAGTCAATATTTTGCTTTTGACATCTAATGACATATGTCAGAAATGCATTGTCTGTTTTTATTACAGACTAATATAATAAAAAGGAAAGAGAAATATGATTATTACGACTTTTTTTTAAATAAAGAAAAACGTCAAAGCAGTCGTCTTGTCCAGCTGCAGTTCTAAGCTTTCTTTTTTATATAACAGTAAATGTTTGCGTATTCCAGTGGATCCCGCCACCGCCTCCTGAGAAGGTGCGTGATGCTGAAGAGCAGATCACCATTGACCTTGGAGATGAATATGAACAGGCTCTCACGTCTGCCACGCAGGAGGAAATCATTGATTTGGCTGGTAAAGATTTTTTTTTTATAAAGTGGCAAATTAGCGGCCAGCTGTATTCGTCGAAATAGCGTTGCAACCGTTGCCCCAACATCTGCTTTATTAACTGTTCGTTTAGTGATTACTAAAGGTGTTGCTCAGTGGAGATTTAAGATAAGAATTTATTAGTTTAGATTGTTTAAACTAATGGAGAACATATTTATGTACTAACTGTGGCCGGCGAATCCGTCCGCGCGGATCCGGAGATACCTTCAAACAAACATTCATCCATCCATCTAAATATTCGGATTTATAATATTAGTAAGATATAAATTATATTTTGATAGTAATTGCGGTATGCTCTGTATGTTTGCAGCTATCCTTGGCTTCCATTCGATGATGAACCAGGACCAGTACCACGCTTCTTTATTGAACAAAGGTCAGCCCGTCGGACTCGGCTGGGATGGTATCACTAAAGCCACAAAGCCTAAGGTAATGTTACCACATAACTGTACCAATAAACCAACAACTAACCATGGGTTTTGAGATCAAAATCTTCGTTTAAAATATATTGTTATCTACAGTAATCTTCTCATTTAGTGACCTTAATAACTAATTCTAGCAATAGTTCTAATTTTAAAACATTATTAAATTGAAAAAATGCAATATTATATGATTAAACAAAAACCAAGCCTGTATATATGCCTTTTTCCTGTTTGTTGTTTACGAAGTGGTAAATAGATATTTTATTGTGTTCCAGGTGTATCCAATGGATCCTCCCAATGACACAGACCCTGAGGAGACCATCAAGAGGGTACAGGAGAACGACCCCAAGCTCACAGATCTCAATTGGAATAATATTAAGGTATCTTATGTTTATTTTAAACAACAAATATATATTTTCATTAGAAAAATGTGTAAATAGCGAAATTTCAAAATGTAAACAGTACTAATTTGGTAACATTGGATATAGAAATAAGGGCAAAGTTTTGGTTCATTTTTCAATGCAAAATATAACTTCATTTAATACTAGGGATCACCCGCGACTTCAACAACACAGCCTTGCGGACAGACAGACAGACAAAAATGTTAATTGTTTTTTCGTTGTTAGCTACGCAAATACATCAAGTGTACGAAATATATATATTTAATACATGTAGACGCTCCAATTTTGTAATATGTATAGATTTACAGTGGCGCCCTCTGAACAATCGTTTTCAAACGAAAGCAATATAAAGTATAGCGCCATCTTACGGTACGTGTGTAAACTACAATAAATAATATATCTATATGTTTCAGAACATAAGCGACGAGAAGTTCGAGAAGCTGTTCGAAGGTTTGAAGAGCAATACTCATTTGGAGGTGCTGTGCCTGGTGAACGTGGGTCTGACGGACCGCACGGCGCAGCTGCTGGCGGACGCGCTGCGAGCCAACAGCACGCTGCGGGTTGTCAATGTGGAGACCAACTTCATCAGCCCGCCCGGTGTGGTGCAGCTCGTCGCAGCCCTCCTCACCACCACCAGCGTTGAGGAGTTCCGCGCCTCCAACCAGGTATACACCACAACCGATGAGTTACTGAGGAATTCATGATCCTGCCATTGTAGGAATTAAAAGAAAAATTGGAGGAGAATAAGTTCATCAAAAAAGACCCTTAGTGTGGTTTTAGTATGAGTAATCTACACTAATGAGACATTTACCAATTTGAGTCTGGCAGTGAAATTACTAATTCTATTAAATATATTTATTGCTATTAATATAGCGAGAAATTTTTAATATTTCTGTTCTAACTATACATTTGTTGTTTAGCGGTCGCAAGTGTTAGGCAACAAGATAGAGATGGAGATCACATCCCTGGTGGAGCAGAACCCCACGCTGCTGCGGCTCGGCCTGCACCTCGAGTACAGCGACGCGCGCCATCGCGTCGCCAGCCATCTGCAGCGGAACATCGACAGAAGTAAGTCTCTCACCACGCCTTCTTACTTTCCTTTTCCTTCCCACCCTTTATTATAAAGAAAGGATGGGAAGGGGAAGCTAATTCGGAAGAGAGGATGTGTAGGATAGGGAAATACTGTCTTTCTGTGCGTTAATTGAAGGTAGGCAAAACGCATCTGCAATTGAGGCGGATTCAAATAGCTTGTTTGGTTGCAAACTTATTAAAAAATACTTCTCGCACTTTATGTCCTCCTGGTACTTATACATATGATGAGCGACTTTAATTTCGGTTTTCATTCCTGAAATATATATGTAACAAACATATTGGTGTAGTCTGACAAGGATCTCATTGAAGGTTTTTGACATTGTCGTCGCCAACAAGATAATTATAAAATTTCAAATAATATTAAAATGGCAACATTAAACCGTACAGCTGACACTCCCTTATTGGTCAAGATGAAATTTTTCGATTGCCATAAAATCCTTGTTGTACTATTACTATCTCGTTGAAGGCTTTGGTAGAAATAAGAATTACAATTGTCGACAACTAAAATCCAAATTTAGCCGGTCCTTATACTATCTGCAGTAAGACAGAAGTAAGTGAAGTACACCTTTGTTATGATCTCCTGGTACTAGCTAGTTGGTAAACGACGTACCAGCGGAAGTACATTTATTATGCGGTCGCGGTCCAAAAAAAAAAACAAATTGAGTGAAGGTACTTCTGAGTTGGAGGTAAGTTTTATATAGAAAACTCTTAGGCCTTATGTTGTCCTGGTACTCAACAAGATTGCTCTGAGCTATTATGACGTTATTTTTTTAAATATTAAAGATTGTGTTAGTTATAATGTGATTATTTTGTACTTTATTTATATATAATATGTATGTACTATTATTTCTTTCAGTTTATTTTGTATTTTATTATTGTTCGTGCACGACATCTGTCAATCGCATATGTCATTAGGTGGAACATTGTCAGATGTGTCGCAGTTCGCAGTTCGTCTCATTGATCGTGAACTGTTCATACATTGTGTCGCATTGTACAGATGGCGCTATGCTACGCCGCAAAACGACGACGCGCCCTCTGCGGACACGCTAGTAAACACAACATTTACTATGCCCTGTAGAACCCATCGCACTAGGGCCCTATGCGACGATCGAGATCTATCGAATAGTTTTATCGATTCCAATTTAATCGATACAGTCGCGATTATTATATCGATAATGGTCACTTCACTTGTTACATAAGCATGCAAATCACATAGTTACGATCACAACTAATCGAAGGTCATAAACATTTCATTACAATATATCGCGACTCAATCGATAAGAAGCCGCGTCCATAGGGCCGTAACTCATCACTTCTAACGCAGCCGGCGGCGGCGGTTTGAACATCCTCGCTTCATTACTAAACATTCGACGACGATCAGAGAGCATCGAGAAAAAATCGATATCGGACATCGATCGTGACAATCGATACTGTCGGATCGATAACGGGTATCGATATTGTCAGATTGCCGAATGCAAAAGCGGGCTAGAGCATCGCTTAGCTTGCGGCTGCCGCGAAGCCGGCCGTCGGGCGCGGGCGTGGACGCCGACCTCCTCGTGACGCCACCCAGCGTCGAAGAAAAAACGCCCACCAGAGAGCCGGCTAAGACTGTGATCACTGAGACCGTCCACGGCTCGATCGTGGTCGAAGCGAAAAGCCCGGATACAGATATCAGCTCGGGCTTGCAGGAAGATAATTTCCCGTCCGCCGATAGCAATAACCCCGACCCCGCGTGAGTAGAGACGCAACTCACACGACCACGCGTGTTCCCCCTCCCCACACCCCATTTTACGTATTGACTATACAACTAACGTCATCTTGATCGACGAATGTCAACTTTATTACCATACGTATGGAGGTGAATTTCGTTTGATCAAGGTCACTGTGATACACGAGTACTCGATTGTGATTTATGTTGTTCCATTGCAGTACGGAAAGACCTAACGCTGCGGCTTCAGTTCAGGTTCTTTAACAACCTGCAAAAAGGCGCGCGCAGCCAATAAAGCGTGCGTAAGGTCAGGCCCCGGCGGCAAATATTTTAGCACGCGCCGATAACAAAACTTCGCTTATGTCTTTGAGAGCTTACAATAATTGAGTTTCATCACTCGCGTTAATGTGGCTGCAGTTTTATACACGTAATTGACATTTACTTTAAATAAATCGTATAATTTCAGCTTATAACTTAACAGGAATAGTATTTTCAAATACTTTAAAACCTTCTGTCTTCATCACGCTTAGGATTAGCCTTGTAAGTTTTAGTTAGCCTTGTAGGTACACTAAAGTCTTTGTCCATTTGACTATATTCACAAGTTTTATTAAAATTCAATTTTACAGTTTGAAAACAATACCAACTAGTAATATAAAACTGCACCATAGACGCGATTCTAAACTATGCATAATTTCTTACACAACACGAGTGACATTTTAATTCGACTTTTTAACACATTTCTCCATTCCCTGTCTCTTAGTTGCTTGTTCTATTATAAATTTAAAATAATATTCTAACGTTAAACAATTTGATTTTAGCAGAGAGGGGAGCTTAGGACGAAATAATTTGTAGAAACGGCCAAAATAATGGGTAAAAAATCTAGTTTCAATCGGCGTGAATGATCAAGGCCGTTTTCAAAATATTTTTGTGTTTCGAACTTAACGGTTTTACGCAGTCATAACATTTTTTTTAAAGTTTTTTGCTTTATAAGCCTACAAATTGTGGAATACATGACAGGATATTTATTTTATCATTGTTTTACAATGTCAATGACCAATGTGACTACAAAATACGCAAACCATAGACAAAAAATGTGTGTTGTAAAAAACTAATTTACGCATGCCAGTGTGATTGTTAACTCGAATGAGAATGTTTACAGCATTTGAGATTACTGTGGCATGGATTTGTTTTCTTTTTTTTCCTGTCCATTTCTGTGATTGAATCTATTGTTTACTTCTATATGTCCAGTATAACCTATAAAATTAACGGAATCGGCATTTGTTCTTAAAAATTATTTTTACCAAATAGTTTTTATTAATTCATTTATATGCCATTAATTACTTTTTATAATTAAAAAAAGCAAATGTCATTCCGTTTGTGTTTACCTTTGCCTAACTTAAAACAAAACCCTTTACGACCTGTTTGTGTGTATGCATTGCAGTACGCCAGCAACGCCGGAGCCAGAACAGCGCTTAGAGTCCTGAACTACACGTGTGGTAGGTATCACTTTGATATCTTTTTAAGCGCTTCAAGTGCTTTAGGTCGTCGAAATTTTGACACTAGTGATGTACGGTTTTAATTTTCACCGGAATATTTTTATCGATTATTTTTTACCAAAACATTATTTTTAATAAACTATACATTTTTATACTCATAAGTTTACGGTTATAGAAATTAATGGAATGTAGAAAGAGAGAGACATCATCAGAGGTAAAGGTAAGGGTTAAAACCCTTTTGCTAAAACCTAAGCCTTTCTTTGATTAACAAATACAACCCATGATATTCCTTACATGTTGGTATTAATATTTGTAGAGACTGACAATTTAATGTATTTCTATTTTTAACAATATTTTTTAATTATATGTTGCGATTTGTAGATATTTTTTCTACAAACGTATACAAAAACTACAAAAAATCAGTTGCGATAGGAGAGAGCTGTCGTCTTTATTACGTAAACATGTTTCTTGATTTTTTTATGTTTTTATTTTACATTTATCATTGTGTATATTAAAGAATCGTCATCATCAGCTTGTATCAGATATGTAGGACAGTAATGAAAAAAAATAACATTGTAATTTTTTTCACATCGACAGGCGGCCGTATTCGCCGCTTGAGTCAGTTCACCCGCAGCCCCAGCTGGGTGGTGGGCTGGATCCCGTGAGCCGCCGCACCAGTTAGCACTCTGTCCAACTCTTTGTCACTGTGTAGTACACAACACTAACGCCCCGACACGAACATACGCTTCGAAACACGTAATCCTAGGGGCCGAATTCTGACGCGCGCTAGAAATAACCAGATTTGACTGCTTTGAACTGGTGCAGACGCTGAACATGCTACTCTTTTATATTTATTTAATTAAAACTAAATGCTTCCGCAGCATTTTTTTTAATATCTGCACATAAGGTCAGCATGTTTTTTTCATCTATTTCCTTACATAAGGTGCTTTTTAAACCTTAGGTTTTATTTCATTAATTAAAAAAAGTATGGTGCAATTTAATGTTAAAACAGGACTGTCTATATCTCAATAGAATTTCGGCTCTTAGATGTTACTTGACAATTTTTAATAACCTTTAGACTTTAGCATTTAGAATTTATATCGACTTTGCCTTTGGTGTCTTAAATATTTTCAACTAGACAAGATGTAAGCTTAAGGTGTTATAAAATTAAAGCTTCAACTTCAATAAGTTTTTACTCTAAAAAAATTTAAATGTATTTGCTATTTGTGATTTTATAGATATTTTAGAATTTTTAATGGTGTCATTGATAACTATACAATGGTTACACACGATTTTATAGTTTTACTACACAATTTCAAAGATCAGTTGACAGTTACAAATATGAGTTACGATATGAATGGTGTAAGGAAACAGAAATTGTGATTTTATGTAAAAAAAACTAGATGAAAAAAACCGATAATTTGGTTTAACCAGTTGATGGCAGGACCATCACTATTTTAAGTGGCTGTACGGTCACAGAATCGATGCCTTTGTAATAAAAAAAAATAACTTTGACAGATAATCGTTCTGCGTAAAGTCAAAATTTTTGTTTCCGCGTGTTTGTCGTACGTTTTATGATTAATTATTATTTTAGTGTGAGTCTAATGAATTCGTAATAATTTTAATATTAATTGTATTATATGTTAGTTTTAAACATTCCATTTATGCAAAACATGTTTTGTTTTTATAGACTAAAACAATGGTTTAAAATACATTTTTAAACATCGTTTTTTTTTTCAAAAAAATAAGTATTTGACAATTTCTGACGTAATTTTGACAAAAATTTTGACGTTTTCACGGTAAATGTCTATTAAATTGACATAATATTATTTATTGTCTGTAAAAATTATATTATGACATGTTCTGCGTTAATGGAGTGTAAGTTTTACTTTTAATTTTCAATAAAGCACTAGGTTTTTTATATTTTTCAAATGCAATAAGTTTAATCGGGGAGTTTATAGACGCCTGATTTTTTTTATTTTTACGACTCGCCGACCTTTTGCTTTTTTGAAATCAAAAAGAAATATATTTGCTTATCTTTTAAAAGTAACTTTATGTATATTTGATAAAGAATACTGGGGATCTTTGTATCCATAACATTGTGATAAACATCATGATTTTCCATTTAAAAAAATATAACTTCGATTTTTTTTTCATTTAGTTTCAATGTAAGAGAGATTATTTGTATATGAATTTAGATTTTTTTAAATATTTTATTTATGAGATCGAAGTTTAATTATTATGACGATTTAAAATATATTTTAATTTATGTCAAATCAATATTCAGAAGCATTTTGGTGTAACGAAATTTTTTTTTTGACATTTATAGCCGGACTTCTGTAGTTTGTGACAAAAATAAAAGTACATAAAGACAAGGATAGTTGTTTTTATTTATATTTCTGTCTCATTTGAATTGATGGCGTTTCTTTTTATATATTTTTATGGGCGAATGACAGGTGTCGTAGTTTTTTTTTTGGCATTTTATAATCTATGATAATAAATCTTGTAGAAATAATATAACTAAAGTATACTGGGAAAATAAAACTACGACTAATCTTTTTAACATATTCAGAGTTTCAAATTACAATTTTATGCTTTATGTATACATTTTTTATTTTTAGAAGACCGTCCATTGTATGCAAAATTCAGGTTTTGTGTTATCTGAAAAGAAAAAAATAAATATTTTAATTTATAATAATATTATATTCAAATATGTTACAAGTTAAAAAAAAACATATTGAAAAAAAACCTGGCAATCTTACTAATATGCGAATGTATGGATGGATGGATGCATAGTCTTGATGAAATTTGGCATAGACGTAGAACATAGTCTGGAAGAACACATAGGCTACTAATTAAGTTTTTTTTAGTAATTTAATTCCTCGTGGGCGACAGCTAGTTTTATACATATAAAATATTAATTACCTTAAAAGAAGCAATTTATCAACGGTTGGCAATCTGCAGATGCGTTCTTTCTGAAGAAACCTAAATTGCAAACGCACCCGGGGGCGCAATTGAACAGATTATCACAGACCACTGGCTTAGAGATTGCATCGCACGTGTCGACGGTACAATTACTCTTGCATTGCACGAAAGATTCATTTGGCCCGGTGCAATCTGACAGCGACTGTTGTAATGTAAAAGCCACGTATAACAACGTGACTACACTTGCTAGTATTACTTTCATTTTGAACGTTTCCTATTCAACTTATTCGAGTTTATGGCAAAATTAAAATTAACTCGTCTTTATATAAGAACCGTTTATCTTATATCATTAGTTTTATTGATAAAATTGAAGTTATCGGATCGAATTGAAGTTTGTTAATGGTAAACAATTGGTGTTGTCTAATTAATTTCTACCCAACATTGAAATATAGTGTCGTTTAATTCTTTATCATTAGTACAAGAATACATTTATTACTTTTATCTTGAAAAATAAATGTTACGGCATATTTTATTCCCAGTTTGCTAATTGCCGCCCTCTCATTGACGTTAATACATCTAGTCATTCCTTGTCTATGGTGGGTATAGGCTAAGAGCATTAGCCAGGGTACAGTATGCGTGGTGCGAGAGTTTCTTCGTTCACGTATGCCATAGCGCTCGCATGCTAGAACCGTTTTTATTAGTCGTTAGCGCATGCATTGGGCAATAATCCTTACGAGTCCCTGCGCGACTCTTGCTTTACATAGACCGATCATTTTTAGTAGTAACTCGTACGTGGGACTCTTCGCATGGAATATCGAGTCGTAATTAACGACCAAATTATCTACCAATGATGTTGCGTCCAGTACGGTGAACATCTATTTTTAACTGATTTTAAAAAGGATGTTGTTCTCAAATGGTCCGTATATTTTTGTTACTTCGTAATATAGACTAAGACCGACAAGCTTACGCTCTATTAATAGTGTTGGGAACAAGGACCAAATAAAAATGCCACAAAGTTTACTTAATATCTCGCTTTCACATTCGTTAAAGGTCAATTTTTCTTATATTTTAGACCATAGGATCTCAAAGTGAGCAGTAATGTACTAAGAACGATGTGAGGGCATTTAAAAGCTGTTTGAATGGGTATCTACCAAACTACCTCGAACGTCTTTCGAGCACATCTCTAACTTGTGCCTCTAACCTGATGTCTTTAACATCAAGAAGTCTAGTCTACAAAATAATTATTCAGACATGTCATCCAGAGGGTTTGGCAGACGGATTTACAATTAACGTGATCGCGGTATACCGCCTTCGCTTTTTCTACATTTATAGCGCTTGCTCTTCGGCTATGGGTCTATCTACTTTTCCCTGATCGACGTAAGTATTTCTTAACTTCTGCAAAACAGATTTGTAATATTATTTGCATTAGACGTTTAAAAAAGAACCATCCATATCTTTTGTCATTGGGACGACTTTTGTATCAGTTTTTTTTACCGTGTGTAGATTTCAATGGGCTAAGTTTAATTAAATGAATTTTATTTGGTCTTTTGTAAAGAATTAATTTTTTTAAATTGTTCTTTTTATATTACACAATATAGATGGCATGGTCATGTAAGGAGGAGGCCGCCGGACTACGTCGGTAATTTAGCGCTATAACTTTCCCTTCCTGGTCGCAGATCCAGAGGCAGACCCAAAACGAGATGAAAAGATGTAGTAAAAGAAGACATGAGTGAGTGCAAAGTCTCAGAAGATCATGGACAGAGCGAAGTGGAAGAGACGGATTAGGAAAGCTGACCCCATCATGTTGTAGGATGCAAGCTAGGCAGCGAGAGAGAGAGAGAGATATTGCACAATATAGCGTTCTTTTTTTTTAGTTATATATTTAAAATAATACAAAATATTTTTCAAACATGAATCATAATTTATTTATTATCTTAATTCACACATTTTGAATACAATGGTAAACATTATAAAGCTTCTAAAATGTAATTTCTTGTTTTCTGCAGTAGTAAGTAGATTTATTTATTTTGATGGGAAATTCCATTGTCAGCGTCTGAAAACATAAAAGGTATATTACTTAATAAAGCCAAGTACTATTCTAAGAATATTGTATTCTAAAATTAAAATTATGGCAGCTTTTCGTTATTTACGAGCGCATCGCTGTGCAGGGCGCCTACAAGAGGAAAATGCCCATTAACGTATCCAGCCTCATAAAGGGATACGTCTCACGGAAACTGTAATATTCCTCTCGTTCTTTATTGCCTGCTTCATACAGTTTGGATAGCACTAAACATTAGTGTGTTGCAAAAAATTACTTACTAAAACAAGCATTCAAGTACAGGTTTGCACGGCGCTGACTCATTCTTCCTCGCAAAACCGATCTCGCAGACGCAGCCGGGCGAGCACGGTATCACTTCGAGGCAGGACACTGGTCGTCCCACGTATTTACAAGTATCTTGTATACAATCGCTTTTACAAGGAATCCATTTCTCGTGAGAACCAGAACAGAAGCGTTTCTGGAGGAATTGCGATGAGTTTGCGAATAACAAACACACAACTAATATAGCTAGAATATGTCTCATTTTTGCTGTTTGCTACTAAACATTGTATTTCCTTTATATACGTTGGTTATTTTAATAGTAAATTTATCAAGTTAGAAACTTATCTCATTTAATTATTTAAGAAGATAATTTAAGAAAGTTGTTAACCTTAGTAATAGATAATTTCTTGAATAGAACACAAATCGTCTTAGTTTATTCTAGTCAGGTAGTACAAATTGTTTTGTTAGTAACAACATTATTTTAATTACAGAATTTAGTTTACCATTTCTCAGATCTTTTTGTACCAAATTAGGTGTATAATTTTACAAGGTAGGCAACGCATATGTAATTGCGTATGTCTATGGGCAACGGTCACTTCGCTATTTCAGCGATTTCAGTCGCCGCTGGCTCGTTTGCCACCTTGTGATATAAAAAAAAATTACTTGTATTCCAATGTAGACTATGGTAAGTAACCTATCTGGTATCAATTAGTACGTGATCTTTATTATATTTAATTTCATATTACGAGGTCACAAAATAAAATTCGGTTTATTTTTAAAAGCTTTATTTCTTACTGATTTTTGTTTCCAATACTATCTATTGACGTTAGCAAAGATTTGTAATAATATTTTTTCAATTATAAAAAATGTCAAGATCGAAGCAAAGATTATTTGAAATAAAATTAATTGTCAGACAGTACTCTGACATCTACACATTTTATTTAGATAAAAAATATACTAAGCAAATTACGGTGGTTATCTTTTTAATTAGTCACATCGTATGTTAAATAAAGTCGAACCTTTATACGCGAGAAGCTCGGGTTAGCTATAACCTCTATAAGTGAGAACCTAAATATCACATCCCTAGGACTCGCTTATCCACGGCTGTAAAAGCACACCCAAATTTGCAAATCAAGTGTGTAGAAAAAGAAGCATTTTATTTAAGTATCTACAATTAAACATAAGCCTCTAGGTGACAAAACTAATCTCTTTATTCAACCTACACTACAATGTTCACCTATTACTATATTTAGCGTTAAGTAAGAATTCCAAAAAATTGACTATTGTTGCATCAGAATCAAACTACAGATAAATAAGTTAGTGACTGCTTTATTAATTTGTTTAACGTTAAGAAAGATTTCTTCTAAGTATACTGTTACAGTGAACATTAATAGTTTTTACTTGAATAATTCTAAATATTCTACAATATTTCAGCTATCGGAATGCAATTTTAAAAAAGTGAAAAAGAGTCGCTATTTTACTTTATATAAACTTTCTAGAACTAGCTTCTATTTTTAATAATCATGCACTAGATCTAGTATTTATAATCAAACATTTTCTTGTATAGATTTTTGTCAACATTTATATTGTTTGGTCATTTCATATTGCATTTAACGCGCAATGATATGGTTAACGGCAGTTTTATGTTTTAGTCTTTGACCATTTACTCTATGACCACTTTGACATTATACCAAGATGGCGTCAACATGAGACTAGTCTTTGGACTTTTCATTTTCTGCATATTGGTCCTTATCACTAGATTTTACTAAATTCAGTTTAATTTTATTGTCATTTTTGGAAGACATGCTGAAGAATGATAAAAAAAACAAAAAAGTAAACTTGGTAGAAAAAAATATATTTTTGCCAACAAAACAACGGTCGAGATAACAAAAATGCTAAAAGTTATAAAATTATCTTTGATAATAATACACATCTTTAGAAAATAATGAAAAAAAAAGTTTATTAAATTGTACAAAATAATGTTAAAAAAAGCGATTTTTCTAAATGATAGATTTATATGGTAATATTATATTTAAGAAATTTGCCAAAAGATGACTAAAATGAATACTTTCGTCTATGTAACTTATAAAAAACTAAACTTCAAATTAAATGCAAAGCTAAAAGTTGTGACGAAGATAAAACGTCAATTGTCACCAAAAAGATTGTATAAATTGGTAACGATTTTACTGCTAAAGCCAGCTTAAATATAGCTAAGAAAAAAAGCTAAAATATAGTCTATAAGTACTTCAATTTTGTTGTTGTTATTATGACGATTAAAAAAAAATATCAAAAAATTCTTGAATCCACTTCAGATATTTTTTTTAATTTCTCTTGATGTAGTTCTTTTAGGTAAAACGAAAAGGCATATTTAATAATACGTATAAATTAGAGATCTTGATTTAATAATTTGATTAACTAAAAATAATTTCTACTAAGGCATCTAAGATATAAAATGGCCGAATATAAAAAGCGTTATTAACTTATTAAAAAACAAAAAGTTTGATTTTTAATAATAAAATTGACAATTGGACACATTATAAAGTAACACTCAAAACACGAACGTAATAAAGTCTCGTTCCGATGACGTCACAGTCAGACAACGTGTACGAACATGTTTACGTCACGACATAACCCACCATATTCCATAACAAAACCTAAATTTAGTAAACGAAATTAATCACTTTTAATTTCATTAATCAGACAATATTTACGAGATAATTAATAGAATCAAATCAAATTTTAAACAAAAAGTGATGTTTTGTTTATAACTTTACATAGACTAAAAAGAAAATAAAAAAGCACATTCCACGCCAGCCCTACAATACGAACGCATAAATCTATGGAAGCATAATTTTATAAAAGCATTCATAAGTACATAACAATAACCTACTAATTTAAGTAACAACACGTTATAAAGCAAATTAAGACTTACTTTTAAAACTAATAGTTAATAAGTCTTAATTTAAACGTCACTGTATATTTCAACTGCCAACATAACATAACTGTCAGAATGAAAATCTGACAACTGATTAGTGTTGCCAACGTAAAAGATAAGTCATAGTCTATTCCTCAGTGTAGCCAACCGACTTCTTGTCTCGTCGCCAGCTGAGCAGCTCGTCGAGCAGTGCCTCTAGTAATGGGTTCCCTCCCAACCTTGCGACCTAAAACATATTACTAATATTATTATTTAGCTGTCTGGAATTTGAAAAAAAATGTAGCCTACGTATTCTTACAGGCTATGTCCTACATTTTTGCTAATTTAGTGAGATCTATTCAGTCGTCCTGGAGATACCTTCTAACAAACATCAATGAATCCATCACAAACATTCGCATTTATTATATTAGCAAGCTGGGAAAGTTTGGATTCGTGGATGAACGTTTAAAGGAAAGTATCTCTAGTACGGTTGCATAAGTTAGATGAAATTTGATATAGATATAGTTAATAATCTAGAAGAACCCATAGGCTAGAATTAAAGCTTTTTTTTTAAATTCCGCGCGGACGGAGCCGCAGGCGAGAACAAGTATAAAATATAAATGATATCATCGCTGACTTATACTGACAATGGAAATATTTGTCAATAGTTGAGATGAGAGCAATATAATGAAATGGAAAGATCGTGCTCGAAGGACCAAAAAATTAAATGTGTTATGTCTGTCTGGACGTTTGTAAGTGAATTTTAATTTACATAACATGGCCTATTGAAGTCAACACATGCAAAATCACTAAGATTCACGCATTAAAGTGAAATATTAGAGTAAAAAGTTATTTAACGTGTTGTATACCTCAGCTCTGGCTTCAGCATCCAGCGCCTGCAGAGCATCTCTGGTGTACTGGAAGCTGCCGAGTCTCTCCAGCAGAGAGACGCAGTACCGCTTCACCTCCACGTCTCGCGTGCGCTGGCGCAGGATATCTGCACTGCTGGCTAAGGGCTTTCATTGTTCCTTGGCAATGTTGACTGACTCAAGGGTCTGAATGCAACAAATTCACCTTAAACCCGTATTTTTAGCAACTTTTTAACCCTCACATCCCCTCTATTTTAGTTTTAGTTTACCCCCAACATCTTAACTAAAAATATCGCGTATTTTCTTACAAAGTAATAGTATAATTTTCGAAATTTAAGTCATTAGTCAAAAAATACACGTAATAATATCTTATTTTAGCCCTTCCTTTTTTACTCGTGATGTTTCGTGATTTTTCTGAGAACCCCCCATATTTCCTGACAGAACTAACCACAATAACATTTATTACCTCTCTGATCGTGGAAAATTAGTTAAATTTGGTATATAACTAACAAGTATATCAAAGTATATCAAAGGATACGTAACACTTGGTTGTCGGCGTGCTGAGTGCGGATGGCGTGTACTATGGGGAAACTGAACTTGCCCTCAGTCAGGTCCTCGCAGTAACTCTTGTTCTCTGAGTACTACATAAATCATTATCACCAAACATGTACCAGGATAACATAAAATGGTTACATATAACACAATTCTTAGGTTCAATAAACACGAGAGAAAAGAGTTCACTCAAACTAGTTATTTGTGTTGTTTTCTAACCGTTGGCTTCCAAGACCAAAATATCTGTATAAAATCTTTAGGTCTGTCATTATCTTTGACAAAAAAGTTAACATTATGTTTCAAAATGAGATTTCGCTCTCAGAAACCCACGGTATCAAAGTTACCTCTTGTAAGCAGAGGTTGCAGTAGTCGTCCCTGATCTGGAAGTAGAGGCCGAGTATGGAGGAGAGTCTGCTGAAGTCAGACTTGTTCTCACTGAACAGCTGCATCAGCCTGATAGCCAACATGAACAGACCTCCCGTCTCTGATAACAAATGAGCTAAGTCAAGCCATTGTTAATGCAAAAGAAAAATTTATCTGTCCCTTTAGTTTTAATTAATATTGCGATTTAATACTACGAAAACCTCAAAATTACAAATTTCGTTTCTCAGCATATTAGCCTAAAAAATCTAATATCTAAATAATAATTTTTGATTTATAAAAAACATCAATATAAGTTTACTTTCTGATATTTACATTTTTACTAGCTTTCGCCCGCGAATCCGTCCGCGCGGAATTACAAAAAAACTTAATTACATTATTATGTGTTCTTCCAGACTACATTCTACATCTCTGACAAATTTCATCGAGTTCCGTTGAGTCGTTAAATATATCTTCTAACAAACATCCATTCATCCAAGATTTTTTCTGTCAATTCTTAGGAAGAAAATCCGACACTGTGCCGGTATACTGGCACAACACTAGCCTTACTAAAATATCGACGTCTATGACCCCTCACTAATCACTCTGACACTTGACTTGGCAATGTAAGCGCGAATGTCTAAAACAATGTATGTCTAATTATGTTTTCCATACTTTGTTAATCTAACCGCTATAAAATCGCCACTCTCACGAGAATAAATTTGTCGTACTATAAATTGTTGTCAAATTGTCGGTTTGACAGCTGTCAAAATTGAAGTCAACTTTGTAAAAACGTCGAACTTATTAAACCACATAAAATTGTCATATTCGAAACTTAGTTGCGTTAAGAGTTATAATTTACAAAAAAACGTAATTTAATTCTCTTTCCTTATAACTTGACCTTTGAAATATAATGCAAATAGTGACGTCATCACTACGTGTGAATATTGTATAAAATATTTGGAATAAAAATAACTTCATTGTTCACGAGAGCGAATTGCATTTTAAAATTTATAATAATCGTCTATTCAAAAGTACTTTGTAATCTTAGACTACGTTTCCACTACGCACGACTCAATGATATCTCAAATTGTATTTTGAAAAGCATGTCTTAAACTGCGCCCAATACCTAAAATAATGTTCTATGCATAGTTTCATTCGAAATTAATAAGATATATAAACTTTGAGTGTTAGTATACGCCATTGGTGTTAGTGGTTCGGTGGCTCAGGGGTTAAAGCACTTGACTTGTCTGCTCCTGGGTTCGAATCCCGCCATGTACCAACGTGTTTTTGACTTACATATGTACATTTATCCGACGTTCTTACGGTGAAGGAAAACATGATCCAATCTGCACATATTTGCGAAGAAATTCAAAGATATTTGTGAAGTCAATCCACACTATGGTAGCGTGGTTGACTATGGCCTAGTTACATCTAACTTAGGGTAGGCTCCGAGCTCTTCAGTGTGGTCGTATAGTGAGCTGATGATGATGTGGTTATACTAACTCTTGATGGTCATCTGCTTGTATTCGTCTTCAGAAGGACAGTGGAAGTTATCTCGCCAGTAGATCTCCATACCCTGGCCGCGGTGAAGCTGCAGCAATTGCTCCGTGTACACCGCCGTGGCCTGCAACAACAATTATATTACACCTCTTTTCCACTAGCGCGATTAACTCGCGACATGTTTCTTTAACAGCCTATGTGATATATAAATGACAGTTGTCAGTCAGAGTCTCGCTTACTAGTCGCTTATTTCTCGAATCTTAATATTCAATTGGTCATTCGTAAGATAAGTCCATTCGAAATAAAGTACTTCAGACTTTTTATACGTATTAAAAAGTGTATTTATTTAAATTATCCATTGGATACGAAACAAATGTGCATTCTTTACGACTTGTTCATCTATATATATAAAATAAAGTCGTGTTAGTTACACTATTTATAACTCAAGAACGGCTTTACCGATATGGCTGAAAATTGGTAAGGAGGTAACTTAGAGCCAGGAGACGGACATAGGATACTATTTATTATTTTTCTAATATTTTTTTCAAATTTATGCCTTAAAGAGCTGCTTTTTACTTAACTTACTAATATTATAAATGCGAATGTTTAGATGGATGTGATGTGGATGGATGGATGGGTGTTTGAAGATATCTCTAGAACGGCTGAACGGATCTCGATTAAATTTGGCATATGTATAGAACATAATCTGAATGTTTTTTATATATCCACGCGGACGGAGTCGCGGGCGACAGCTAGTAATACATAAATAAAACACAGTAAGCTAATTTATACATGTTTATATTTTGTTTAACCACAATAGGTACTTACTGTAGAATGTACAACACAATAAAGCGGACACATTGATTACGACATGTTCCAATTATTCGCTGCACAATAAACGATGATTCAATTAGCTTTGTTTAAATTCAAACACGAACCGAAACTATGGAATCCAAGCTATAGTCTAAACGTCCGATGTCAACATTCAGAAAGTAAATTAAATCTCAATAAGATTATATTAAACTAGCTTTCGCAAACGAATCCGTCTATGCGAAATTTAAAAAAAAATAAAAATAAATTAGTGGCCTATGTGTTTTTTCAGACTATGTTCTACATCTGTGCCAAATTTTAACGAGATCTATGCAACCGTTCCGGAGGTATCTTGTAACAAATTCATTCATCCAAACATTCGAATTTATAATATTAATAAGATTAACAACTGTTTTCCCTTTTGTCATATTGAAATTCCCAGATTCCTAAATGTTGAATCTTGAACATGAAAGTCACTACCACAATGCAAATGATACAAACATTACTCATAGAAATAGTAGCCGCGCTACTGGAAAAGGGACCTAAGGCTCTGCTATTTCACTGGCGCTAAACGAATAAAATAAAAACATGTAACATCACTTTTTTAATTTCTGCAATAAATAGACAAGGGAGGGGATGTATTCCCCTTTCCCACCACTTCACGAAAAAAGCAAGTGCCTTCCCCATCCTTTTTTTATTAAAGAACATCTTTCTCTCCTTTTCCTAAAAGCTGTACTCAACCTTATTATTGCCAAACTAAACGTCGTTGACTATAGACCCCTGATAGACTAAGACCAAATCAGATTATTATAAATTTACTCACTTGTGGATGCCCTAATTCTAATGTCTTCTCAAGTGCTATAATCATAGCGTAGTTTGCAGCATTTATAGTACTCGCTATGCCGTAGATGGAGTGCGCTACTGGGATACCACGACGAAGTATCGAGTTGTCTTGGATATCGTCCACACTGGAAACAAAAGGAATATAATCATTTTACTAATAAGATATTTTCTAAAATATTAGTGAATTATTTAAAATTTAACAATATAAGATATAAGATTATGATGACTGCAATTAAACTCTAGTCCTGTGTGCTACAATATACGAATGCAAGTCAACCCACAAAAATGAGATGGGATAACCGTAAACTTAACCATTAGGTGGACCAACCCGCACTGGGCCAACGTGGTTGACTATGACCTAATCACCTCTAAACTTAGGGTAGGCTCCGAGCCCCTTGGTAAGGACATATAGTGAGCTGATATATATAATTGGAATCTCGGAATCGGCTCCAACGATTTTCATAAAATTTAGTATATAGAGGGTTTCGGGGGCGATAAATCGATCTAGATAGGAATCATTTTTAGAAAATGTCATTTTATTCGTGTTTTATCGATAATCAACTTAAACATAAACTTAACTTTTCTATCGGTAAGATCGAAAAATATTATTCATATTTCATCATTGTATTAGTAATTCGTACTTAAATATAATTTCCAAAAAACACAATTAAAAAAAATGCCAGGTACTAGAAGCTTAAAAAACAAAGAAGCACAGATAATGTAACAATGGCAATTTTAATTAACAAAGACATTACAATGTATTGGGTTAATTGATTGTGATTCAACTAATTCTGTAAAAAAAACTATCTTAATTGATGTAGTGATGTATAAAAAATTATATCGATATTTTATGCGAGGTCAATGTATTGTTAATGTTGGTTACAACATACTGAACTAATGCTATGCTCTAATTGTCAAACTAATACAAATCATATATAATTATTTTTATATTCAAGATAACATTGTCTTGAAAACCTTGACAGTGCCACCTATCTACCGCAATGTATTAAAAACGTCACACGACCGACGCAAATATAGACATGAAAACTAAAAAAAAAAATTTGGAGGAAAAATGAACTTCTTCCTTTTTTGAAATCGTTTAAAAAAAGTTAAAAAGAACTTTTAGAATACACAATGAATTTCAAACATGTTCAAATAGTCGATAAATAAATTATCGATATCGACTTGTTGCTGTGAAAATATTGTCGCAACTCTCCTCGTTTCTCGATTACACTTTACCAATTGATCTTTAGTCACCTCGAATTTTTTTTTCAAGTTTGCTCATGTTTTCTTAGTATCCATGCAGAAAATAAAACGTTAATAACACAAAAAAATACGTGTTGTAAGGCAAATCAAATTACAGTAAAATATATAAATAAACATAACAATAAGCTTTATTATCATGAAAAATAAAAAAATGCATACATGTCAAAATGTCACGGCTACTGCCCAAACCGAATATAGTGGAGCAAGCTTATCTGGGCCCGTAAAAGGGGCGTTACTTTTGCGGTTAGTTTTGTCAAATATATAAAACCTTTTTGGGCAAAAAATGCCATAAAAGAAGAAAAAAATCTTGAACTTTAAAAAAAAATAGAAACTCGTGTTCGGAGACCTTTTTGAGGTTAACAGGAAAGTTAGAAAGCCGTCATATTGTGTACTCAACCAAGGATGTTTGATCTGGGTACACAGGCACTGCTTGTCGGTCTACATCAGGGGGTCTAGACAAAGTGCATTCATTTCGAAGCGATTCCATAACGTATTTCAAAAATATATGGAGGTATCGCGTGATAATCACGTGACTTATCAAAAGTTTTTAACAGTGGTAGAGCCCGCTTTAACATCTTCGCACGAATCGGCCCGGTTCGCCCGGTGAAATACCACGACCACACAGAAGACAGGCGTGAAGTGGAAGCAATTCCGCGTTTCGTCTGATGAGTGTGCGTCCCGGAGGCCAAAATTAGTCCTTTTTTCCCTTCCCACCTTTTTCTTATAAGGAAAGGATTGGAAGTGGAAGTGGACTTTCCGGATGAGGGGATGCATGAAAAGGGAAAATATTTTCTTTCTCCTCCGTCGATTAAAGGTAGGCAACGCATATGCAATTGCGTATGTCCATGGGCAACGGTCACTTCGCTATTTTAGCGATTTCAGGTGGCCGCTCGCTCGTTTGCCACCTTGTGATATAAAAAAAAAGTTATTCTCAGTTTTATACATTTTTGAAGTTCGTTATTCAATAGCTTCAGAGTTAATGCACTTTATGTAGCCCCGCAGGGTTGGCAAAATTGATTAGGCAAGGGATCTGCAATTTACTGACGCAACCCTATGCGATTTACCAGTGATAAACTTCTTTAAATAGTAAAGTACACGAGATAGATACACAAATATATATGAATAAAAGTGTCATTGCAAGTCGTGACTCCACAGTAAAGACCACATTTAATAACATACACACGTAATGCAAATGATAATTAATTCTAGTTAAATCCGGATCAAACTGATGTAATCTGACTTCATCTTGCGTTCAATCAACCCGAGTGTTACTAACGTATTTTTTTACGTTATCAGCTGATGTCTCTCCACTGATGGTTACTAAACTAAATTAGGGGTGACTTGGTGATAGGCAACAATATGGGTTAGCTATGTTGCAATGTATAATATATATATGCAATTTCAAATTTAATTTACATCTTAAAATTTTATTTTCAGCAATCGTAAATCCTCGCCGGGTCTTCCGTGGAACTCCAAAGGGTAAAATTGGAACACTTTAAATCAATGGTTTAAGGATAAAACTAAGATATGTACGAAAAGGGCGCTCTAGAGTTATTATGAGAAAAAAAACCGGAGCATCGGGGGGGGGGGGAGTTATGGAGCCATGCAGAAGAATTGATAACCTCCTTATTTTTGAAGTCGGCTAAAAAGATATAGGCTTTGTCCCTCTTGCTTTATGCCCCACGACTGTTACACTCTGATAAGGCAGTCATAAATAACCTGCAGAAACTGGATCGATTATTATCTCTACTGACACTGTACTGAAAGCTTTGAAAGGTTTTTTTTAAATTTGTTGTATATAACAAAAGAACATTATGTTAACATAAGTAGGTAGAAATGTTAATGTTATTTGTGACATACTTTATCCGATTTGTGTCAATCCAATATACCAACCTGTCAACCGTTTTTTGCACCTCTAGCTTAACTTTCCAGTTGCTACGTCTAATTAATCTTATGTACTTTAATAAGACTGTCCACAAATCTAATTTGAGAACATGGAAATAGTTTAAATTACTTTTTACGCAAAATATTCCACAGTCATTTGTTAGCGAAGACATCAGAAAAAAAAGACCATAAGTTTTTTTCTTTTTTGTGACACAGATTTTCGCAAAATAAAATGTTTCTGGCTGAATGAATTGTATAGTTCGATTATGTGCGTCTGTCCGTTCTAATGTGATGAACACTTGGGCCAAAACATCCTAATCGATTTTGAAGATTGTCAATAGATTCGAGTTATATTCGTATTCGGTTTAGGATGCCCAGAGAGAAGACATCCTAGTCCTTACTACTAATTAAAGTCGAATTTATTTTTAGAATTAACTATTTATTTGTTTGTTTTTGTAAGTTTTTATACTTTTCATAGTTTTTATATATTTAAAGATAACATTGTGTGAAAATCGAATTTCAATGTCAGACTTTTCAAACAATAAATGAAAAGTTACGACGTTTTTATCAATTTATGGGCATTGTAACAATGTGCAAAGGCAACTAAAGTAAGTTGTTTCTATCTTGCCATTTTATACGTAAAGAAATATTATATTAAACCGAATTTAACATTTTACTTATATAACCTCGAAGAAATGGATAATCAACTACTCTATACCATTCTTGTAACGGAAGAATTCGTCTGTCCTGACAAAATGTTTTGTAAAAGTGTGTCGACAGTGGAAGCCCACCCTAAATAAAGATTTATTACCAATAAAATATTAGATATTGCAAGATTCCAACTCTAAGACGGCTCGTGGTAAGCTTCGAACGCTTATCTACTAAGATAGACGAAAGCAACAATGTATTGTACCAATACCTACAATTGTGTTTTATGTCGTCTTGTCACGTCGAGTTATTATTACATTTGAATGTCACTATACTATAGTAACTTACAGCAGACTTGAGTTATGCAGCATCTGGACGATCTCGCCAATAGCTCGCAGTTTGTCATCGCTCACTCGCAACCAATAGTTGAAAGCCAAGGATAACTTCTTGCGGATCTGCTTGCCTGGTACTTGCAGGATATATGTGTACGGCATCAGGATTTTCTGTACAAAGAAGTAAATAAGTATCGTTATTTACATCATTACTATATTACACTTCGTTGTTTCTACCGTCTAACTATAGTTAAACGCAGTAGCGGCGTTAGGCTGGATCCAACTCTGACGACATAAAGTGGCGCCTGCAGAGCTCCGGAAGATACTCTTTCTTTGAAATATTTGCCCCGATATAAAAAAGGGGAGCGTCGTTAAAATCTCGCCCAGGGCGTCGGAAATGCTAAAACCGGCCCTGATTACACGGTATTAATGAAATATAAACAAAAATTCGATACTCATTTGTAGTAAAAATCTATGGAAAACATACTATTTCCGACGACTAAATAACAAGTTAATCTTAAGCCTTTCTAACTGCAATGCGTAATTCAAAACCTGGTCAAATTTATAATCAAATCATTTTATTGTGATAAAAAAAAATATTATTTTGCGCTTTATAAAAAAAAACATTTTCAATTAATGTTGAATATTACTAAAAAAAATATTAAAAATCGAACACATATAAAGAAAAATTAATATGTTCGTTTGCACGCAGCCTATATTCCCGGCACATTGTTCTCGATCTAGGGCTCTAGGGCATCCGGGATAGTCTTTTGAATTACGACGAAGCTCTGATAAAAGCGCATTCTTACCACGCGTCCGCAGTATCAAAATATTTTCATGAAACGTGTTGAGAAAACATTTATTTTTATAGGGAAATAAACGTTCCTCTATAAAAATAAATGTTTACCTTAAGATTACTATAGTATACAATTACGATTAACTTGTCGTAGTAAGATACTGGCTTATTTCGAAATCACCTTTGTGTAATGCCAAAATCAATTCCTATATACGATTATTTACGTAACAATATTCAGTATGTGTCAAACAATTACGATTTCGTCAGTTTACAATCTTACTAGTAATTTAACTAACAGACGGTGAAAGTCTCTTTTATCACACTATTTTGAAATATTTTAACTAAAGCTGGAAGAAAATATGTATTTTGAATGTTACTAATATATTGTATATGCGAATGTTTCGATGTATGGATTGATGTTTGTTAGAAGACATCTGCAGAACTGCTCTACGGATCTAGATGAAATTTGTCATAAATGTAGACCATGGTCTGGAAGAATTTTTTTTTTCTGGGAGGATGATGTCTCAGACAACAGCTTGTAATAAATTAATCAGTGATTGATCCTAGAACCCATTTACATTAGTATGGTAAAATTTACTTAATGTTTTTACTCATAGTGTTATTTCTGTTTCAATTATTTGTTATTAATTTTCTTGGTGTCATCTTTTGGTTTGTTTTTAAAAACATATTTGTTTTCCTGCCAATTGCATATTGTGTTCAAAATATTTAAGGTGGTTTTTGCATATAATATTTCTAATTACAAATAGATTTACTTTGTTTTTTTTTTATTTCATGGTTGTCTAATGACAAAGATTTTTGGTGGCTGAAAAAACGGATTGTATACAGTGAAAAACAAAGTTAGTGCATTGTGTTTCCAAAATATAGGCAAAATTTTAAGATACACATGTTTTTAACAAGGAAACACTTGGTTATATGTTTGTCACGGCTTGCTATGTATTTGCAATGTATTGTTTAATTTGTTTTAGCATTAAAATGATAAAATTATATTTGATAAATAACTCAATTTCTTCCTGTTATATAACTTCAAGCGTAATGTTTTTATTTTTTTGGTTGTAAGTAATAACAATACCAAATTTATCATGATTCTATGGGATAATTGAAAATAGTAAAAATATAAAAAATTAAATACATAATATTAAAATACTATAGAAGATAAAGTAGTCTGAAAAAGTGTTAACTATACTTTTTAATAAATGCATTCAGTTAATATTGCTGGCGTTTAAATAAACATAGATTAATGTTATCAATAAATAAACATACTCCAAAAAATGACAAGGTTCTAAAGGATTTATGTGATAAAAAGACACAAATAAGCCTTTATTAGTAAATAAATTATTAATAAATTATGAATTTTAATAAATTTAACTTAATCTAGTTTAATGTGACTATAGTTTTTTACATAAAAATTAAAAGGATTTAAAAATTCTTACCTCGTCTTGAGACTTATCACCAGTTTTAGTAAAAGCTTCTGACATGGTACAGTTAATTTTCTTAACAGGTCCGGCCTGTTTGAAACCCAAGAGTAATTTCTGAAAAATAAATTTTCCGCTTTTATTCAGTGCGGCAGTGCCTCTAATAATCCGCAATGCGTGACAAACTGACATTGACAGTTACCGGTGACAGTATTAAAGTTTTTGACAGTTGAAATTCTTTTTTAAAAGTCAAAGTCGATAAGCAACAAACTGCATTTTTTTGACTAAAAAGTTTAAGTACTTTAGAAGCATTTCTTTTGTTTCGGGACAACATAGCGAAACTTTCAGTTTGCTACATTGGTATTAATACATATTTTCATAACATTTTAAACTAATTCTTTACTAGACTAATTGTTAAAAACTCGCTACATCAATAAGCAACAATAAATTCTGACGAGACAGGTTCATACTCTTTGATTTGACAGATTGTCTAATTCGAAATGATAAATAAATAATTATTGAAGTTGTCGAAGTTGTGTTTTATGGAAGCAGCGAATATTTTGGACAATACGAAATGAAAATATTTTGGTGTCTAAGAGCAATATTATTTTGTTAAATACACTACAAAAAAATGGATAATTTCAAAACACTTTTTGTTACATACCCTTGATTATGTCGGCACGTAATTTTTTGTCTGCTCGAGAGAAAAATATTGCCAAGATTATAGATTGCTTACCAAATATAAGCCATAAGAAGTGTGGTTATCGCTCAGTGCAAGAATTACCCCCGCTCTCAGCGAATTCGAGTGCCTTAGTTAATAGAAACATAGATTTATCATTTAAAATACAACCGTACTCTGATGAAAGTTTAGACAGAGTTAGCACACCTTTTTCGGATTTTTTCTCTGACAGTGAAACAGGTAATATATTCCTACTTGATTATTCATGATATGCCCGTCCCCTATCCCACGAATCCGGTGTCGGCACAACATTCTTTTCAGACTTCACTCCTTTGATCATGTTATCTTTCATGTAAGGGAGGATGTAACTTTTGGCTCTGATTTCTCTGTAACTTGTCCTACCTTTAGACTTATAATCAATTATAACACCTCATACTTGATTGATATTGAACTAAGGTTAATCTTGCTTAATTTTCTCAGGTACACCAGATTTTAGAAGTGAAGAAAGTGACAGTAGTGCTGGTTCAGCTTTGAGAAGAAACACTGAAGCTGCGACAAAAACATTGGAAGAAGAGTGGGAGAAGATTGAGAGGACTTTGTACAATGAAGAGGGAGAAAAAACTACCAGACCACACATGCTGGAGGAGTGTAAACAATGGAGACAGCTGCATCCACAACTCAGGTAATCTCGGACAGATTTTATATATACCCATCTCTATTGTTCTCCTCAAAACTCACTCTAACTCAGATAATTAATTGGTTGATTATTTTTTTGAAACTTTATGTGTATACTTGATTGAATGGGATAGTGTAGATTACCAATTGAAACTAGTACGGAAGACAGACATTGGGTTTCAAGTTTTTCTATAGTACAATAATGATACATATTTTTTAAATGTAGTTTTCTAGTTTATTCTCTTTCTTTATTCACAATTTAATCGGATAATTAATCCAGTATTTTGGCTTAGATCCTTTGGTCTAGAATTATGATTACTTTTTAGTAAGTATTAATCAATAACTTTCATATTATTTCAGAGTCATTGGTAAAGCTATACCATTGCCTAAGAATAGATTACATTATAGACAATCTGAACATGATGAGGTGATTGCTGTGCATTACAGTGATTATGAACAGTTTAGCGAGAGTGAGGAACGTCTGTCACAGAGTAGCACCGATGTCACTCCACAAAACTCCCCCAGGGTGTCCGCAGCGGACTATGAACCGAGATTGACACGAGAGAAAATATCCTATTACCCAAAACAAGATGAAGAATCAGACTTTGAAGATACATTTTCATCTCTGTTACAAATCACACCTATTCAAATACGAAGTCCCTATAGAAAGAGACAAACACATTCAATATTAAGATCGGAAGTTGCATCTTCGCGATGGATGAGAGGAAATCGACCCGATTCTTCGGTTAATGGTAGGGGTAGTGCAAAATCTTTTGTTTCATTGGATACAGGGAAATACAGTGTTGATGGGAAATCTGTTAATGGTAGGGTAGTCACAGCAAGACATAGGGAGGTGGCAAGATTAGAACCAATTTACACTCCTGAACCACCAATTGATGTGATAAGACATAATTCACATGTATACGGCAATAGGAAAGTGTCACTCCCCCCATTGTCTATGGAAGAGGAAAGACGTAAAATTGCCAGTGTAGGGTCAGCAAAACGAATTGGCAAATATAAGAAGACTCAAAGTAAATTTAATAGACCTTAGAAATTATGGGCTTGTTTCTAGTCATTGGAAGTTAGCATTTTATGGAATTATTGACAAAAATAATTTATTTTGACTTTTGCAAGAAATAATCAGAATAATTATTTTGTTATCTATTTTACGTATTTTATCAACAATTCTTTTGTACATTTTAAAATTAGATGTAATATTTTGTTAGCGGCGCACATTTTTTCTCTAAATAACTGTACTATTTTAGTATTTTGGTTTTTTCGTTCACAATACTTATTTCAGCAATGCTCGTATGTACAATCGAACCTGGGTATACGAGAATCAAAGGGACCGCGATATTTCTCACTTGTAGAGGTTTCTCTCTAATTGACAGAGAGAAGGGAAGAAACCTCTGTAAGCGAGAAACTTTTGACAGAGAATGCTCTATAAGGGAGAAAAATGTCGCGATCCATTGGTTTCTCGCTTATTTACTATATATATAAAACGATTTTATTTATATATGAAACGAGTTCCACGCTTTAATAAAAGTTTAGCTAAATACCTTGTCCCTTTTATCTTAAAAACATTTCATAATATGCCTCGTATATTACTAATCATTATATTTGATTTTTTATTTTTCAATAATTGTATACTTGTATTTACTATTACATTAATTATTTTTTATCTGTGATACTGTAATTAGATATTAAATCTGTAATTTGCAAAGAATTAATATTTTATGACGTCATACACATCTTTGAAAATCATTATTTTTTTAATATTAAGGCATAAAATAATTTCGTTGTCAAATGTAGGCATATTCCATGTTTATACTATTAAAACATTTATTTTGTCTACAGGTTGTGTATTTATTTGAACAAACTCTATGGTATTTTTTGCCTAGAAGAAAAAAAAACGAGGAGGGTCATAACAAAATAAAACATAACAGTCAAATACAAATACAGAATTTATTTTGATATTTACATTATTTGCATTTTATTAACAATCAACATCAACAATATTAAATAATTTGTTATGTGGTGTGATAAATTACGAACAGTCGGGCAATATTACATTTCCCCAGAGTCGTGCAATCCCGCGTCCGTGCACATGGCAACATTTCAGACTATCCTTCAAACAGTGCAAGCCATAATGCGCTTTATTGTATTATTCCTAAGAATGGAATTGGCATGTACAATTTTATAAAGACGGCGTCAATTATTGGAATATACACTTGTCAAGGCTAATGTAATATTACGTGAGATTTATGGCATTGCTCATAATGGCGCCTTACTATTACTTTACCCCTTAGAGTCTATACCAAATCAGGCTAACTAATACTCAGAGTCAGGTCGCTAAAGAGATTTTAAGTGTCGATTTATTATGCGAAATCTACACTTTAAATCACCATTAAACGATTCAAATCGGCAGTGTAAGGGCAACACTTAAGTTATCGCTCCGTTAGTCATTCTATTCAGTATACAATCTAAGCAGCTTTCTAGCACTTTAAAATTGATAAAGGTTAATTTATCGATTTTTAAGCACTTAACATGGTAACTTTATTGCTTGGCTCGTATATCGCTCCCTGTCTATCACTAAAGGTGTGACTAAAATATCAGATGCATCGAAAGTTAGTCTTCTCTTAGTCATTAAAATACAACCCTTTGATAGCATTAAGCGAATAAAGATGATTTTTAAATTTTAATGTTGATACGAAAAAGGTGAAGATTACGAGTGAATTGAGCAACTGCGAAGAAAGCTGTGAGCTGGAATTTAATTGGAGTTGCCATAAAAAAAATAATGCAAGTGTAAATGCAATCTATGAACATGAGTAGACTATTAATGATTAAGGCGTTTGCGAATAAAAATTTAAGATTTATGGGATTTTTTTTTATAAAATTGGCAACCCACGACGCAAAATGTCAACAAGCCAAGATGGCTGAAGTTGTATTTGATTCGACACTATCTAGTGTATAAACTGTGGATCTTAAAATCATAAATCAATTTATCAGAAATTGTTTAATTTTGATGTTATAAATACTTGATAGTGCCAATCCAAACGAGATTGTAGACAACTGATCAGTAGCGCGGTTATTCCCAGTCCTATTTTATTAATTTCATTTTTACATAATATAAATTTAAATTGTTATAATTTACCTCACAGCCATCATTATATATTGATACTACTTTAATTAAGAGAGGACTATGTGTTACAACACGAGATGGCATTCAGCTTACAAAAAGGATCTAGCGAATATTCGTAATATAGAGCGAGACTATTACATACGTATATAATACATAAAAAATTCATTCTGTTCTAAAAACATTAACAACCTCAAGCTATTAGCAATAGTCAACAATGTTGTTAATTCTAGGACATTATTCACACAGAACATGAAATAAGTACTACCTAAGTTGCAAATAGGCATTTATTATTATTTTTCTCGCCCAAATCGTCACATACTTGTGAGAAAGGCATCGTTGAATCGAAACAGATTAATTCAGGAACTAACACACCACGAAAATTCAAATATATAAACCAATTGCGGACGTTAGAATGAAAAAAAAAAGTGCCGGTGCACTAAACAAGAATATATGAATCTAAAATAGTGTTTAAGTGTTAAGAAATGAAATGAGAAGGTAATTGATGGCATAAGTGATTAACTTTTACACCCGAAGGTCCCTTTATCGGTTTAATTATTTAGATATAATATACTATAATAAGATCTTAATTTAAGGCGACCGAAGATGTTACGCATTTATCGACGGTAGACGACAAAAAATTGTCAAAATAGTTTCGATTTTCGACCGCAAGAGGGCCGCGTAGGGCGGCCCGTAATACACCTAGCAACAACGGTAAAGTCACAAGACACCCGACCAACATACACATTGAACAAATACTGTAACAGACCTCAAGCAGACACGCAGAAGGACTCAGCTATTTTCTCTCTCGATAAGGCGATTATACAATTTAGACTATTTTTAAATTGCACACTGACCCACCTCTATAAACTTTTAATTGCGATAAATATTTGTAATGCTGTATAAAAATATTAAAGGAAAAATTGTCATTTTAGGATTAACCTTAAATATATTCATAATTAATCCAAAATACCTAATAGCGTGTATTTTACATTTTTACAATGAGACCTCAGAATTCTATAGCTAGCATATGGTGATACAGAAGCCTAATTCACAACAAACTACACACGATACTTACAGATTATAGATTATAAACTTTGATGCAGCCCGTAACCTTCTATTTTAATGCAAAGGAGATGTACATTCAAAAATTTCTTACGTAACATACAAAATTACATTTCACTATATACAACAATCTAGCATATATTTTTAATTTTTCTTTTTTTTTCTATCGAATGCAGCGGTACAATATTCAGGTACCAAATTTGGCGTCTAGGCTCCAGTGGCATGCATGGTACACTAAGAAAATCGATTAAAACTAAACAATTATATGTAACTTAATATAATTATGAGGTGATTTCGCCGAGACAATAACTCACCTCGTTTGGCCTAAATAGTCCATATTTATTTATAATTAGTATACATTTTTTTTGGACAGACCAATTATGATTCATAAATTATGTAAGCTATCGTGCACAACCTTCTCAAAGTTTTTGCGTTAAATATTAAATCGATTCGCCGTTTTATTTATGCTGATTTACGTTATATTAATTACGTAAAATGTGCAACATTTAATCTCAAGTCATCGACCACAACAATATTATTTATAATTTCCAATATCTATAGCCTTAGTTCATATGATTTTCTTTTATTATATATGTATTTTTAGTAACAATAAAGATAAATAATTGTGTAGAATATTTAAAAGTTGATAACAATGATCACATTTATAATCTGTTTTGTGCTAACATTTGATCTATATTCTGTTGCATGTTGGCAACACTGGTATTATAAAGCAATATATTTAGTGTTGTTGATCTTTGTGTCCATGTGTTTTGTCCCCTGGGCCTCGTTTTGTTCTCATGTGGGTACTTTTTACGGACTATTTACGCAACTATACAAAAATATGGCAGTATGTTTGCATTCAATTCCTTTACAAACTACGATCAGTATATTTTCCTTTTGGACCGAAATGCAGTTTAATTCACACACACACACAATTTGAAAACTTAAAAAAAATACCCACATTACCCTAACATTTAAGGCCGGCTTTGCCTATACTATTTGAACAATGGCATGATTATCTACTACGTAGCATGATATATATACAGGGTGTTTGATAATTAAAATTATTCTATTGGCGAGTCTGGGAATTTTATATCTATTCGTTATTTGAGGTATTTTTAAATTTCGTTTATTACTTCAACAGGTACTACTTGACGTGTGTTCACGTGTTTATCTATAATTAATGCGATTCTACTAAATTTCCATACTCATCAAACATCTTGTATATGTTATTTTAGTAAACATTGTGTTATCGATTTACTAATTGGCGAATCCATAGAAATGATTATAAAAATGGTGAGGCGAATAACTAATACCTAGTAAATTCTATAAAATGAACCATAATTAACTGCGATAGTTGTGTATTTTGTGTTCGGAATAGAATTTTCATACGCAATCAATTAAAGTTTCACCTTATCTAGTACAATCAATAAACTATGAAGAGTCCACAATCGTCAAAGCACCGGGAGTTAACACTAAATACATCGCAGGCTTCACAAGCCATATTATCTTTTTAATAACAATGACTTTTCGAAAATAATATCACACATGAATAGCAAAATTACACTTTGCACTTAGCGTTCCTCGCAATATAAAACCATTTGCCTATTGATCTCGTAACTTATCTGCAATGGCGTACTTTAACTCCAATTTATATTAATTTCTGTCCATTTATTTAATGTGCAGCGCCTTTAATCACGTCCACTTTGACAATCCCCCGGTTTGATGCTGGGAAAATGTGTAAAAAAAAACTCAAAAGTAAAAACAAAAAAAATTATATTTATTTAAAAAATAAAAATTACTAAAAAGGTGAATAAAATAAAACTGTAAGTAGTTGACATTTAGAATGCAGTGACAGATATGACAATTGGTGTCACAGACTGCAAACAGAAATGTCATCCGCTACAGATAATCTAACCTACAAAATATACTTACAGATTATAAATAAACTGAATGTTACCAACACCATGAGCAATGGAGCTGTGTGCAGGCCACTACTGTACCGTGCAATAAATTTGTAATAAGTAATTTTAAAGTAAAAAGACTTAAGCTAAAAATGATAGAACCTAATGAAGTTAAATGTGAAGCTTAAAAATAATGTCAATTAAATCACATTATACTAAAGTGAGGATGTATATATGTTTTTTTTCAATACATCAATCAGTCAATGAATATTTAAATGCTTATAATTCACTAAAATTTAGCATTCGAGAAAAATCCTTAACCATGAATAGTGAGAATATTCTAATGAATAAGGAATGGACGTTTTAAAAAGAAGTCATAGATTGCAGTATCTTAAATTAATAATATCTGTCTTGCAATTAAAAGTTTAAAAGGTTTGATACCATAAAGATGGAAATATCTCTTCTTAATTTTTTAATATGTCATATAAAAACGGAGAACCTACCCATGTCAGAATTTCCAGTGTGCAGTGTTAAACCGAAAGACACAGACAGGGTAATATTATTTTTTAAACCAATATTTATTAGCATTTAAGCATTACTCATTGATCGGATAAACATAAATATTCTAAGCTCTTTTTTTATTAATTTAATTGTAGAACAGCCTGTATGTGTCCACGGTATTCATGTGTTGCATATAACTTTGGCTCAAAGAATGGTATCTTTATCTTGTTGTTTATATTTTCAATTACGTAATTTTTAGTTGGAGACTCAACGCAGTAGTATCGTGATTGTGTAAGAAAAACATAGAATAGCGGTGCAGTGTCCAATTTTAACAAAGACAGAACATAAATTAAAAATAAAAAGGGTTTATAGGTGCAACATAGAATCATAGATAGTATTTGTTGTTAAGCTACGCCAAAATAAATTTGGAAAGGAAGGTAAAGTAGATTTTAAGGCTCTGCGAGTCTCTGATAGCCTTTGGGCCAGTAACACAAATCTAATACAAAACAAAATAAAAAAAATCCAGCTCCGATTAAAAACCAGTATCAAACTATGGCTATGTCAGTCAGTAACCTTATGTGTTTACCGGTTTTTAATCGTAGTCGGGTTGTAAGGGTTTGTGGGTTGGGTTGGGTAGGATTGTCCGTGGGGACGGGCCCTTTAGATGTAGGAGTAGGGCCCGTCGGTGAGAGCGCTGCACAGCAATAGTCAGGAGGCGTCGTCCTTGGCGGCTGCGCCCGCGCGTCTACTCGCGCGGTACTCCACGCCTGGGTCGAATTGCATCAGCACGAACACCTGCACAAAGGCAGAGTTTATGAATTACCAGTGGTTGTTTTTAGTACTCGCAGCTAACTACCTATAAATTCTTAGGCATAGTAATGTATTCGGGTCTCCGTAGAAATGGGATTCATGGACGTACTTGATCTGTATGCAACAAGCAGAAGTCGTCGGGTGGGTTGGTGATGACGTAACGCTTGCTGCTGGCGTCCGAGCTGGAAGAGGTGTCGCGGAAACGGTAGAGGCCGATACATAGCATGCCGTACGTGCGCAGCGCCGCCACGAACAGGTCACCGTACTTGCCCTCCTCGCCGAACTGCGCTAGAGGACCGTCGTAAAGAGAGATCTGGCCCACTCTGCAACGGTCCCTGGAACATTTTAAAGTGTCAGATATTAGTCGATGTTATTCTTCTTCGTTTTGTATATAGACTACACAAGAGATAGAGAGTCGGAGCTATATCCTGCTTTGGTTGCTATTACCTGTTGGCCAAGCTCTCGGGCGTGGAGTACCCGCCGCGCAGGCCCGCGCCCTCTGCAAGGATGAGCTCCAGCTCGGGCGTGGCACCGCCCGTGATCAGCGACCGGATTAACGTTAGCGCGTTTTGGTTGAAATACGTCTGGAAGATGAAAATTGCCGTGTGTTACCAATAACGGACAGTGCAATAAATACCAACGTGTGTTTGACAATGGGCGATGAATGACGGGTGATCTTACAGTGGACATGAGGGAGTCGAGCACGCTGACAGCGAAGGCGGTACCGCAGGCAAAGGGCTGCGTGAGGTACAGCTCCGTGTCAGGGTCATCATCGTCATCCTGGTCCAGGAACTGCACGTTGCTGTCGTTCACCAGCTCTGTAACATTTTGACGACAGTTAAACTATCGTATCAATAACCTTATACATCATGTGTAACGCAAAAAAAGGGTCCCCAATTACCCCTTAAATCGACTTTTTGACATTGTCCTGTTTAAATGAAAGCATCTTAACCAAAAAGAAGCTATTAATCTAGTGTCGGTTATTTATGTGCTGTTAAAATAGATTATAATGTGTTAAGGGGACTAACCTGTGATCATGGGCACGTTGGCACCGTACACAGAGCCACGTCGCTGCAGCAGCACGGGCGCAGCGGGGGTGCCCTGAGGAGGCGGCGCGGCGCCGTTACCCGCGCTCAGCACACCGATCGTGTCGTCGAAGGTCATCGCCTTGATGTTCAGCGAGGCGAGGATCGCCTCCTTGTCAGCGAGCGTCGGGTCGTCGTTCGACGGCACCTTGGCGGACAGGATGCAGCACATGTCGCACAGATTCACGTTCACCGCGCGCAGATCTGCTCGACTCAGCGGAGAACCCTGATAAAAAATTAAAGGAAGATTAAAGACGTTACTGTCTCCAGATCTAGTAATAACATTGAATAAAAATATATTTATTGGATATGGTGCAAAACTGCAGCTTACATTCAAAACGGATATTTTCGGTAGATTCTGCAGCATCTTCCACTCCCGTCGAATATAGTCGACGCTGCCGACGATGACGACGTGCTTCAGTTCGTGGTAGTGGAAGTTAGAAGCCCGGAGCGGCATTACCAGATTCCTCAGCCCGATCAGCGGCGAGTCTGGGTCCGCAAACAGACACACAACGACGTGTCCGTTCAACACTGTCATGGCCGCTTGATTTCTGTCCTGTTAGGAAGAAAAAAACCCTGTACATTGTGCCACGTAAATTAGCAAGGATAAAAATTAAACGATAACGACGAATTAACGAACATTCTTAAGACGCTTATATTAATATACAAGTATACATTAAAGTAGTTTATACGCACTAGTATACAATCTTCAAGGTTTCTCGCAGGACTCCAATGGAACATTCCCGTGGAGTCGTATTTCATTTCAGTCTTTTCGAAGTCGAAATCTTTCGACTGGTCGTCCGCCAGACCTGCTGGCAAACTCACGCCGTTGCTGTTTTGATTGCCTCCACTGCTACGACTCGTTGGCCTAAGTAAATACAGATATATCAAATATCAATAGTATGACAAACTTTGAGGAATTTTAATTGACGTTTTATTGTAATCTTTTAAAGGTGAAAAAAGTTTTTAATTAACTAAATTCGCATGCGTGGTTTAAAGGCAATATTTGTTGTAAATTGTACACTGGTGTTGCCAGAATAATGGCAAAATTGTGTTTGTGCAACTGTTCGATGCAATCTCAGTTGTCCAAAGTAAAAATTCTTGCTTGAAGTATTTTTTGCAAAACATAAATAAAAACTTATTTACAATGTAGATTATTTTATTCTTTTAACTTTATTTCATAGCTGAGAAATTCCATTGCTGTAAAAAAGTGTAGCTACATTGAAACCGATGAAATACGATCGGAAAGCAAATTTCACTTCGACAAACAAGATTGACATAAATTTTAGGTTGATTTACAATAATAGAAGAATCAATCTCCTATTTTATTGCTGAATTACTTACCACTAGCCTATGCCTACCTATAAGCTTTCGCTAAACTTGCATCTTCTAGTCTATATTAAAATCTAGTTATTAGAATTTACACCAGTTTTTTTCAGCAAAAGTGATGACGTATATATTATATCTGTTTGGCCTTTATAGTCTAAGATCTGAAGCAATGTGACTTTTGAAGTAAATATATAAATTCTTTTTATAAGCGATTTGCGCATAATAGAGATAAGTTTTTTGTGGTAGTTTTTCGTTTGTGAGTTTTTAAATATTTATCCCAGATTAACTATATTTTAATTAGATAAATCTTATATTAGTAAAACATACCTATTAATATGATATGAAAATGTCTTAAAAAAGGAAAAAAAAACACGATTTTTTCTTTTTTTTAATGGATCTTTTTTAATGTATTACCGATTGCTATGTGCCTATGCCAAAAAAAATTTCTATGACATTTATTCTTAATTTTTTTTTGAACAATATTTTTTTAATAAATCCACGTATTGAAAATAGATTTAAAAATTGAATTAATGTAGGATACTTAATTCGTATTAAAAGCAGTAATAATAATTCCGAATTCGTAAAAACACGGAACAAAAAAATCATTTGTGCTCTGTGTATTTTTTTAAAAAGTGTCAATATTGGTCACTCATAAGCTGATAGAAAGAAGAATAAAATAAAAGTGTAAAATAATAAAATGTCTACAGTAGCATTTATAGCTTAATACATGCTTAGACTAAGACAAAGTGCTGTGCTTAATTCTGTGCAAAATAAACTGTCAAATAAAATCTATTAAAAACTTTATTGCCTAAATAAAACTTGAAGCAAGCATAACTAACTGACTACGTATAAACAAAATGTTCATCTCTTTATTTCGAATGCATTTAAAGTTTTCAATCTACAGATAATATAAAGATCTAGCTGATATATTGTTTAATGGTATTACATTAGCTTTTTCACTTCGTAGGCAAGATGATACGCCTGGTAATTGGTATCTTGCTCTGGCGGATTCCTGAAACACAGGGTCAAAGAATCGACTCTATTTCAAGGGGTTGCAGGCTGTGACAGATCATATTAATTCTAATAAATTGTACAGATAAATAATCTTTATTATTAAGTGCCGTGCACACTGTGCTTAAAATAAACTTTCTTACAGCAAAACATTGAAGGACAGTATAAAGCTGCGACAGATAAAATATAATCAGAGAAATGGTGACGTCATAAGTGTAATAGGTAAATTCTCTTTTTATAATTCAAATAAAAATAATACATGTATTTTGTTTTTAGTAATACGATTTACATTGACCATTCGCAAATTAAACTTATTTAAATATCGATTTTTTAAAAATATTATGGTGCAATAAAATAATTTAATATATTAAGATATGTGCTTATCCTTATACTTTTTAAAATAAATTTGCTTGCTTTAATATAACTATAATAATGAGCCTAAACTTAAATATTGATTAGATGATTAATGCGTTTTATTTTAGATGATTACACAATAGATGCATTTTCATTGTATTATTAAAATATAAAAATTAAAACGTAAAATGTATCGTAATATATTTGATATTTTTATTATGAAAGTAAACAACATAAATTGCCAAAAACTAACAAAAGACAATCGTCTTTTATTCGTTTAATTCGCTTTGATAAAATGAACTTATTAACATTTTTTAACGCAAACAATATCAGTAAAATACAATATACTACCGCTGCTGTATACAGTACAGACGGTATACTGTACAATATACAGATTATATTGTATACAACGTATAGATTGTATTGTATACAACATCCAGATTGTATACTTACGTGTCCGGGGGCGCTCTGTTGACGTTCGGCTTAACCTTGTTGACTTGCCTCGTAGTGGTGTTGGCGAGCTGGTTGGCCATTGGCGATAAAAGAGCGGTCGGCGCCGCATTACGATGGTTGCGGTTTATTACTGTAAATATAAATTAACTTTGTATTTAACTAATTTAAACATTCTTCGTAAAATGTCATATATCAATTACTAATAGTAATCTAATTTTATCGAACGATTTGGTAGAATTACAATGTAAGATACTCGTTTGAAGGTCATTTTGCTTGAAGACAATTACGTACGTTCCAATCAACTAGTACTAGACTTTATTATTTACTATATATTGAGTGTTTTAAATATAATTAGAAGAGGATTCAAGAGAAGAATGAACAATTGTAAAATATGCTTGAATTGCTAAATTTGTTTTTCAATTAGAAAATAATATAAAGCATATACTTACGACTAATATCTTCCCCTCTTTCTCTTGCGACTTCACCTGAAGAGTAATATTTTATATATTAATTAAAAGCCGTTAGCGTGAAAAATAAATACATATTGAATTTGTTAGAATTATTGTTAGTTTCTACAACAAAAGCGCAATAAGATGCATTCAAAGGGTTCCAATAAACCAAAGGAAGACACACAATACTACAAGATATTTCCAATGCTTAGCAAAGGAATACCAACCAGAAATGATAATCATGTCCGCATTAGAGTTAACCAAGAAGCATCTCCAATTTTTTTAATAAATTTCAATAAAATTTGTTAAAAGGAAGTGATGCAAAAGTGAGAGAACTAATTTTAATTTGCGTAGATTAGGGATTATTTGGTAATAAACGTTTTTAGTTCGAATAGTCGCATTAAAGCGATCTTATGGTTTCTACTTTTAGCCGGGATCATGCTTGATGAAAGCGAAAATCTGGATAGAAAGGCTCTCAAAGCCTAAAGTGCTTAGTGATAAGGCGTGTTAAAGCAACTAAGTGCAATTCGTTTTTAAACTCAGATAAAGCACAACGCTGGCTGTATCGTGAGGGCCGATGACAAGAAAATAAAATTAATAAAACCACTCAGTCTTTGAGGCTGAGATGTACCTCGAACATGAACCTTCTTGGGCAACTCTGGCGGCGTGAAGGTGGGGGGAGGATGGTGGTCATCTGCAAAACATCAGCACAATTTCGCATTCCAATACACCACTCAACTGACATACAAACGCAAAAATATACAGCTCGTGACCACTGACCTTAAATCATATATTGTATGAATGAAGTATTATGTTCGGTTTCACTTTATTATATATATTTTAATACTAATACAGTGCAAAAATTCTAAAATTCAATAAAAAGTATTTTCAAAAAAAATATTTTCAATTTTTTAAATAATTTTTTGATAATTTTTTTTAAATTATTTTAACATTTTTAAATAAAATTATAATAAATTAAGATAAGATTTTAAAGTGAATCCGCATTAACCATCACATATATCATAAAAAACATCAAATAAATTAGTATTTTAAAAGTAGCATACTACACAACACATTCCCATGCAACTAACACACAAATATTAAAACATTCAATATAAACATTACTTAAGCCGTGTACTATAATTTAGCTATGGGGGATGTATTTTGAACATAATTAACATAAAAATGATACTAATGAATGAATAGAAAATGACAGATATGATTGTGAACTATCTTAGAAATGATTTGCTATATTTAATGGAGACGATCATCGGGTAGATTTTAAACTGACGATGTCGGTATACCATGAGTTCGTGGACTGACGTAGTTCGCAGCCTGTTAAATCCTTAGTTCTATCGGCGGACCATCTAGTACCATAAAACGCTCCCTAAATTGGGCGATGATAATTAGAAAAATAAAAAAATAAATAATTAAAAGCGAATAAACATTTCACAACATCAATATCGGAATTTCTATCGATGCATTTAAATATATAAATAACACCTATTATAAATATAATCGACCAAAATAAAAAAAATACAACATCCAAATTATACAATCACAGGGTGATTCTTTTTTTTTACATTTGCTAAAAAGTTCACATCTAATTCGTTTTATAAATGCACATAGATAACGTGGACAAGACAATAATATCACGGTTCGCTATTGTCTAGAATCAGCGCCACCGCGATGCGCGTCACAACACAATGACATTGAATGTTACTCAAAGTATTACGTACTTGCCCTTCCGACCATCTGGACGGCTCGTACGCCTTTCCTGAATGTCGCCACTGAACCGAGAAATAATACTTTTTAATGTTAAATTTTTAATTAATTCAATTTTATATTAGGTATTTGGCAGTTATACATCCGCTAGATAACGCAAATTATACACGTTTACACAGTCAGCGATGCAAAGCTGAGCATCTTTTATACATTCTGGAAGTGCGTCACAAATGATTTTATTTGGCCCCTTTGATTACTAAAGCTCGCATTGATTGCCTTGAAGAATCACCATTACAATAATTAAAAGCAAATAAAAGCATTAATATTTCAGTAATCAAAGTCGATCTTAAAAATAATCCTAATTCGAGCATTTGTGTTGTTATTGTGGAGTAAGCGGTTTAGTTAACACATGTGACATTTTAGCGCTGCCTGATATTCCAATTGCGTGTACCGATTATCGTGAATTAGCGTACTATAAACCAATAATTAAGAGCTGTTATTAGTCTAGCAAACTAGTACGTGTTGGGTACGGTATAATCAGAGCGCGCGTTCCGTTCGTACCGTCAATGCAATCTCGATAACTATTAAGGTTTTGTTTCACCATTCCGGACTGCATCATCATCATTCCGACATCTGCAAAAATCCAAACACTGACACAAACTATTCGATTCTGCCCTAATGTTAGAGTTGAAGAAATATTAATGATACGAATTTAATAGGATCAAATAGAATAAATATATATCATTCAATTGATCCCATCAGATTCACCGATGATACGTGTATGAGATGCGACCAGGGTTTTCGATAGTTCATGAGTTAGTCACTCTCATTAGCACAGACAAGCTGGTACCGATCTAAAAGCATTTGCTCCTCAAAGCTCGTTGGTATCGGGGCATCTTTAGCAATTGCGATTATTCACTCGGAATTTTCTGAGACATGCTTTCGTGGATGGCAACAGAAAATGTTCGTTCTAAGTGTTCTTGGAATAATGAAGTGCAAAATTGCAGTTTACCATTGTCAACTCTACTATATCAGATGCATGCAATACTCTCTGTGCCGGGCTCTGAAGTGCACCATAGCAATTTATATCTAATCATTTGAGAGCCAATTTTATTTTTCGTCAGTGATCAAAATAGTTTTAGTGTATTTGCCTGATGTTTTCGTGTTCATATAATATTGTATGATGCACTAAGCGCTCTCAATACCGAACAAAACAGAGCTGCTGGGTCAGACAAGGCAAGGCGAGGAGATGGTAAGGTGTCGGAGTGCTTTATCGTGTCGTGCCATTGTCGTTTCACGAGCGGGCATACAATGATCGCTAGATATAGAATGTGAACGAGCACGCCTTGCAACCGATCCAGTCTGTGCGGTACGGACGCAACACCACTAAAGCAACTCAAAATTATAGACACGAAAAAAATGGAAAACGTCAATCTGTAGGGTTAGGTGTGGTGCAAGTTACCTATGTCGGCTCCGACCTTCCGCTGGTGTGCGGTCACTAAAAGTTTAGCCGAATACGTTAATGTCTCACATATAAAATACAGTGTGTTTTTATAAATTGGCTGTGGAAAGAACCTACTGTGTATGTGATTAAATCGATATATTAATTAGTTATTTAAATACAAATGTGTTACACTTTGTGACTGCACAAACATACAAGTTGTGGCTTCAAGAGGATGTTCCCTAGAAAGTATGTCACAGAATTATTTGTAATTGAATTGTTAAAATTTTACGTTTATCATGTACCTTAGTTTACAAAGTATTTCTTATAGTAGATTAATATTAAGGAGAATAGAAACAACGTAATAATACAATAGATCTTACAGTTTTTGCATTTGCATTTCTTGATAAGTGTTTCATCCTTGATATCTTCGTGACAAGCCTTACAATAATACCAAGCCCTGCAAAAAATACAAATATTAAAGTTAAAAATTTGTAAAACAACATAAAGTATTCTGGAACACGCTGTATATATTACAGCGTGTTCCAAAATTCAACGACAAGCCGGTACTGGTGATGTTACATTAACTTTTGTAACTTTTCTTATAATTTGTCTTATGTCCTCTGTCATATGATTAGATTATATAAATTTTCGTCGAATCATATTTAGTTTTGATCTTCAAATAGTAGTTAAAAAAAGCTATAAAAGTTTAAGAATTTGTGATTAATAGTGGTTACCTTTTGACCTCATCAGCGGACTGTGCAATAAAGAATCCTTGTGTGTTAGCATGGATCTTGGCGTTGCGAGGGTTGATTGATATCTTGCTGTCTGCACCTTCTTCTCCTTTGATCTCAATCGCCAGCAGCAGCAACTTTAGTTTTGTGAAACATAACCTAGCACCGAACAATATACATTATTACTATCTTTATATATTACTAGCTGTCGCCCGTGACTCCGTCCACGCGGGATTAAAAATAGATGTTGGCCGATTCTCAGACCTACTCAATATGCTCACAAAATTTCATGAAAATCGGTCAAGCCGTTTCGGAGGAGTATGGGAACGAAAATTGTGACACGAGAATTTTATATATAAGATTATGACATTCAGATATTGCCTGACTCTTTAGAAGACACTTTGCGAAGACCAGGGATCTCCGAAACCAGTAATATTAGTGTAACACGACTTATATTGTATTTCCCACCTTTGTAATAACCCTTTCGGTTCTCTTGAGGACCTCAGGGGAGCTTAGACTTTGGGAATCATTTATTTAACTGCAATTTTCCCTACGTACTTATAGTATAGTATGAAATCTTCCATGTGTCTATTATAAAATCTTTTAAATTTAACCTTTTTAATTATCACATTTTTTCTAATATTTTAAAGAACTGCTTTTGGCTAAATTGTTATTGTGATTCATACTTCACCTCCTTACTTGAATTGTGGTTCTTTTATTTCATTAAACTCATTATTCTATACAGGATATCCAAACTTTGGTTCGAGTAAAATTTTAGTTAAATTATTACATTTTTGGGCTATGGAATCTGTGGAAACCGTTGTACTCTTATTTTTTGAACATCCTGTATCTTTAGCTTATACGAAGTATTTAACAACAACTACAATGAAGAACCATTTTAAAATTATTCTACACTTAAGCTTGAAATTTTTTTGTAACTAAATAAATAAATAGGTATATTATTTCCTCTGGAAACAACGGAGATATCTTTTATTTAATTAATTATTAAACGAAAGAACTTATGTTTTCATAATTATTGTAAAATCCCAAGCTAAGAACAGATAAAAATATTTTAACAAAAAATGTATTTTACCAATGTTATTAGTATGAAAACATGCGAAATTAACTACAATAATATCTGCAAGTCCACAACCGAAACACTCGCAGAAAAGTATCTTGCTGTTTCATTCAACTGAAAGAGAATGAAAGGGTCAACAATATTTTTCTGCATGAGCGTTCCGCCGTGAAAACCCACAGCTACAATTACATCCATCGATTAAAATCATGCACAAGAAGCTGGAAATCTAGTAACAATTGATGATCATGATGTGCGGAGATATAAAAAGGAAATAGCAAAAACTCAAGCAAGAAAAATTAAAAATATCAGGACTGAAGTAATGGTTAAAGAAAAAAAATTTTAGTAGTCATTGAAATGTTCTGTTTACATACGATTAGTAGTTGTAAGCATTAGTAGTTTAGTCAATATTAAAAATGTATATAATAGGACGATATTAGAAAGGTACCAGGATAATTTTAAACCGTAAATTACAAATCCTAAATTCTAAATTTTAGGGACAATTTAACACAAGTATATTTGACTATAAGGTAATGATTTGCGCCTAAAACTCCTCAGGTTGCAAATACTAATGAGTATTTAAGAACCATACCAGCTTACCTCATTTCTTCCAACGTAAATATTATCATTTGCATTTAAATATAATGATAAAAATTTATGAATTTAATGAAATTTTGAAATTTTTTCACATATATTTCGAGTTTACATGACACTACATGTGCTAATGAATTCATCTAAATCCAATTTCCATTTCTAACATGCATATCTAAAATTAATATAACACACTGTAAGTTAACAATTTTTTATCTAGATTTAGCTACTTTTGTGAGAATTGTCGACAAATTCTAATGTGGTTAGTGCATTCACCGCCTAGATAAGGGCACACATCGACTAGGGTGCAGGTTGAGAGGCCACTCGGGCTGTCTTACTCGCTTGCTTGCGGGAAGCTCATCCCCGTGAAGGAGGTCGACAGAGTCTCCGTGTACATCTCACAGCCCGTACCTTGGAGATAATCGTTCTGCCAAGCTTGCGTGTCGGGGGACTGCAATCAACGAATGGGACACTAAAGCTCGTGCCGAGTTAGTTAAAGCCACCGGGAAGTTTCAACCGATCCTAACTTCTTGACTCTGCAAACTCGCATCACCTAGATTAGTTTTCCTATTAAAATCGTATGGACTTGAGAGGAGAAAATCATGAAGCCGGCAAATTAAAAAAGAAAGAGAAGTTAAGGGATAAAGGAGATAAAGCTTTGTTAGTCGGTGACGTCGTTCGACCAGCGTAATGTATGTGGATTGTAACACTGGAGTGCAAACAGCAACACAGCCGCGGTACCGCAACACCCTGGCACAGTACCACAAGCGCCCTCACTTACTCTGCCGCTTGTTTGAACGGCATCCCCACAAAGGTACTGCTGAGAGTCTCGGTGTACATCTCCATGCCGGTGCCTCGCATGTAGTCATTAGTCCATATAGCCATGTCCTGGGACTGTGGAAATTCCGCATACAATTCCTTCAATTTCATATATTCGAAAAGATCGCATACAATCGAAAGACTAGGTCGTTGCTTCGCTTGATAAAAATAATTCTAACAGAATTTATCTTTTTGAATATACTAAACTTTACTATAGGAAAGGAACAGATATAAGAACCTGGCATAACTAATATTGGGACTGAAAAAAAACTAAACCTAAATACAGCAAATCCTGCAATACCTCCCTTTTGATGACATTACAGTGTAGAATTTAAGCTGAAGTTCATATGTTAAAAATGTTTTTCTTTATTACACAAATCGGCGATAACAATTGGGCCACACAACCCAACCAGCCAGTACTATAGTAAAGAAGATATAAATAAATCTGACCGTTTTGAAACTCCTCATGGCGAAGAGATTAGCCATCATGGTGGAGAAGCCCGGGGCAAGGCAGCTCTGCGCGATGAAGCCCAGTTTGAGCTCCGCCAGGCAGATTACGTCGTCACCCTGCTTCCAGTCCCATGACGGGATGTTCAGTAGGTACGCCTGAAAGACAAATTACGTATGCAAAAATCTATCAATTGACGAAAAATTGTCTAAGAAAAGACTTTTAAAATCTTTATTTATACTGTTAAAATACCCATCAAATACCCGGTACTATAGTGGAATCATACCTTATTGTGATATTGCATAAGCTGTATAATAACTCTGATGTCATCAGAATAGTTCTTAATGGAAATGACCCTCATAATATTCGCGGCGTCCTCCGCGTCAGGGTCCTGGCAGTATTTGTTCGCTAGCACCAAACATGCATCCGCTTCGTGAACCTAAATACATACAAAAAGTTAGTAAAAAAATATGATTAGTAATATTGCTTGCAGCAAATAAAAAATACGATAAAGTATCAAATGATCCTTCACTCATCAAAATCGGTTAAGCCGTTTCGTAGTTGTCATAGAACGGACTCAATACAAAAGTATGCATACCCGTTGAAGATCCAAAAATCTTACTAATGTTATAAATTCTTGTACATAGTTATGTTAGATCTTTTGACTTTGAGAAATATTTTTTCAGTTTTTTTAAAGTATGTTTTTTAATTTTACTTACCTAGGCAATTAAAAGTATAAGATGAGCTTAAAAGTCTGAAGCTTAATAATTTTTAGAAGTTTTCAATTTAATCTAACTCCTTTCACAAAGGAACCAATTAGTCATTATACTTTATTAGTACGATTAAACATCTACACTTTTTTTTGAATACAAAAATACATAAAAAACTAAACATTTGTTGTCCTTATTCGATCATGCAAAATTACTCAAAGGGACATGCGCTACTCAAGCAATCAAAGAACCAGTGAGAAATGACCACTACGACAACATCAAGGTGTTCAACATTCTTTTTGACTTCTTACATTAAAAGACAGTGCTTACCACAATCTCTACCAAAGTGGATTGGAGATGTGGTCTTCATGAATTTATAGTTTAAAAGTTTTAACGTGTAGTGTTCATTTTCAAGGCAGGTAGTGAAAGCGGTGGAAAAACAAGCATGCATATTATTAGTAAACAATCTAAGGAACTCACAAGCCATGCGACATTTAGACAACTCACCATAAACACTCGACAATATCGACAATCGGTTAATTCGAACTACTCGTGAAAGCGAATTTTGAAAATGGATACCCTTTCTTCGGCTGCCATTAATGCCAATTACAATAATCGCGCAAACCGATTCGAATTTCGTGAAGTCAATATCGATTGTTTAGAGTATGAACACGAGGTGAGCATCGCAAACAACACCCAGTAGTTAGAGACAGACAGAGAGAGCGCGGGCGCGCGGGCGTGCCGTGCCGGGACAGGGAGAGACAGCAGCAGAGACACTCACAAACAGCCTCCAACACGTCATGACAGGAGAAGGTAGGCGTACACTCGCAAGGAACGCCCTCTCAGCGAGGTCAACGAACGAGCATCGCTCTAGTCTATAGGAAGGATAGTCTGCACAGCTTCAAACCGACACCACGCCCAAAAACGATCAATCGCATAACCACAGTGTGGCGCTACTTACTTTCACCCTCTGTAGGTCGATTGGATTCATAATGGTGCCTTGAAAGAATTCCACGGTAGTAAAGTGTCTCTTGAACAGGCCTTCGAGCTCCAGGTCAGGCGGTTTCCTGCCATCAACTGTTAGTTAGCTAGGAGCGTCGGCGTCGGAGGCCGGTCGCCGCCGGCCGGCCGAGCGGCCGACTGTACCATGCACGCTAGGTAACAAAATACGCGGCGGTGCGGCGGTCAGGCGGCGCCGCGGCTCGCGCCGCCACGTCGACTTCCCGCCTCTCAAGCGATGATTGCAAAGAACCAAGATAAATTTACTCGAGTGTTTAAAACTCCTACTGTGACTATGGTATCTTTACGGAATAAAAAAAGTTTTCATTATGCATATAAATAAAAAATACTGGTTGACGTCGACGCGTATCGATAATAAACAGGGCCGTGCTACTAATGCCTGCGCTATTCGATCTTACTCTAACCTTGACTCGTTCAAGGTCGACGGCATTCATCATTGTACCCTGAAAAAACTCGACGGTGGTGTAGTGACGCTTCAGGAGACCCTCCAGCTCTAGGTCGGGCTCTTTCCTGAAAGCGTCGTTGCATCACACATCACTCGCCGCCCCAATAATTCTTTACCCTCACACTGGCTATTATAACTTAGCACCTTCAATTACTTCATCACAAACGCAAATAGTATATTCTGTAGACGCCTTAAGAACCTTTATGGCTAGTAATTTTGTATATATATTTTTTTGGTGAAGAAAAATGTTATTTGTCTATTTCATGTATGATTCACCATTACAACTTTCGTGTAGATTTATGCAAGATATTCTTTAATAGGTTTTATCTTAATATTTTGTATTAAATGATTTCAACATTTTGTAAACTTTGAACATTTCCATGCGAACTCATCGTAAAGTAAATATCCTAATTCAATTCCTATTTCAAATTGATTTTTTTATCACTTTTTGAATATTTCTTGGTGCTTCGAGAGAGCATTAAACACTTTTAACTCTAGTTTCATTGTAGCAGTACTTATTACATATTATACTGTAATACACATTTTAGTTTACAATAATAATAGAAAAAAAATTAATTAAGACCACTCACCTATGTAAAAAAACAACCTCAACGTCGACATCCTCTCTGTCTTCATGTAGGAAGTCTTTTAAAAAATGGCTTACTGATTCGTACGTTATATGTCCACATACAACTATATGCCTGAAAATTTATAAATATATTATAACATTTGTATTAATCTTAGCAAAGTCTTCTAAAAAGATATTGCTTTAAATTAAATTAAAAAAAGCTGTTAAGCGAATCATATATCGCATTGAGGCATTGCAATTGCAAATTATTTATCATTTTTTAATTGGACTTACGAAAAAGCTGTTTCAATATAATTTAGCTTAAAAATAACAAAAGCAATTATTAAAAAAAAGCATCACAAATACATACAGAAGATAGATAGAAGGAAGTACAGCAATTTGAAGTTTTATTTAACACCTGGGACCAAGACATACTAACATAGAAAACAAAGCAAAGGTCACGTCAGGGTTAAACAAAACAAAAAGTGAAGTAAGCATGATGTAGTCAACATTGTCAACAAAATTATAATTAAAAATAATAATAAAATAAAAAGAAAAATTCATAATTTGAAAAAATAAAGATAAAGAAGAGTCGTTATATAAAATTTTGTTTTAAACAATGTCGACTTTGTTGTACAAAATATTTATATTCCTTCATTTTTGAATCAATTTAATATAGATTTTTTATAAATTAAGTACAGTGATCGTAAGAAATAAGTTTCGTAAGTTGAATTGGTTTTAAATATCATCAAATATGAATGAACATTCTCAGTAGCGTCTTGTGTAACTATGTCTCTACCACACTAATGACGAAAATCTTGTCACCAAAGAGTACATAGGGTACTTTGGTGAGATACTTGCAAGATGCAAGATCTTTTAAAAAGATACTAGCAAGCTATCACACTCAAACAAAAATCAATCTGACAGATTCTAACTCGCTAATGGAAATGTAATGATGTTTGTATGTAAAGAGATAATGATCTTTTAACATTAAGGATTAATTTGATTATATTTTTATATATATAAATATATAAATAGTTCCTTAATGTTTCAAGAGAATTTAAATGTATGTTATACTTATAAAAGAAGGTATTAAAAGCTTGCGTCTCAGTACACTTTTCGAAATACTCGAGTTTGAAAGTTAATGTTTACTTTTGATTATCTTAATATCTGGGATGGAGCCTCAATTCTTTATAAGTTCAAAATTAAGTTAGGGTAAGGCGGCGTTCAAATGCAACGTGTGACATACATACATACATTAGATAGTGTTCGAAACATTAATGAGGTTTGTGAGTTGAATAACGTTAGACATAGTAAACGTCAAATCAAACATTGTGGAAAATTATATGGACAGAAATAAAGTGGGGATGCGTTATGCACGTGGCTACAATAACATAACAAACATGCAAACTATAATTCATCTAAGGTGTGGCAAAGGTACTGAATTCATTTCTTTCAAAATCAACAGTTAATCTACCTTGTTAATCAAATGTCGCATAAAATTGCAAAAACTTTTATTATATCATTAAATTGCAAATCTTTAAATGTATGAACTGTGTCAACTCGCCGCTAAGATGATGTTGATAATGTCGGATGGTATGTCCAAAACTAAATCTATTTCTGCGTTAAAATGTCCTCAATGCACACAGCCTTGCCACGCTCTATGAATTTTTTACGCAAATACATACACTAAGTTTACCGAGGGGATCGACTCAATATTACAATACAAATAACAATACATTAAGTGGGGCAACATCAAGAATAAGAGAACAAGTACATTTACAAAGTCGTGCAGGCAGGGAGGTAGAGGGAGGCGGGCGGAGCGGGTGGCTTCGTGGCACTCACTAGTCGCGGCCGCATCGGCAGCGCCACGCGGGCGCACCTGCCGGCCGGCGGCACGGTCCGGACCTCGCTCGCTGCGCCGTCCGGACCGTGCGTACGTCGACCGGCCGGATCGGGCCGGGCCGCGCCCGCGCCGGAGCTGTCGACGTGTCGACACATGACAACGCCAACAACAACTCACTACTACGGTACCACTCAACATTTAATTCTTCGGATCTAAGCGTTGTACGTTTAACATTCCATATTAATACGTATAGGTACAGTACAGTACAGTACACTAACAGAACATAATCATGATACCTATATGACGAGCGATAATACTAGCCACTATCTGCTGGTCTATATTCAACTGAACTCAAATTAATTCAAAGATAATTTACAATCAATACCGACTCAAAAACAAAGACAACGCGCGGGACTCGCATCCCGCCAAAGATAAAGTGAGAACACAGAAGCGTGCTAAGAGAGGAAAAGGAAGATATAGATTTCACAACACGGAACACATTCAATGGACTGAGTGAAGACAGCGGCTCACCTGCGTCCCCGCTCATTCTTGAGGGTGCCGCCATACTTGGGTCTAGTGCCGATTAAGTCAATTATCTCTGGGATACAACTGGCAAATATCGCCTAAACGCCGACAGACAAAACATTGAGGTTGACATTTAGGCGGACCAGCGGTCCTGGCGGCGCGACGAGCCGCCTGGCGCGGCGGGCGGCTCGGCGCGCCGGCGTGGCGTGGGCGTGAGCGCGCGGCGGCGCGAGGGCGCACTGGCGAGCGGCGCGGGGCGCGGGGGGCGCGGCACTGGCTGTGTGTGACTCGGGACTCGCGGGGTGCCGGAGCTAGCGCTACAGCGTGGCGACAGGCATCGTGTGCAAGCGAACAAACCAAACACTACTTCATCGACAGCATTACAAAACTTTACATCGGCTCTCTCCAGATCTAGTCTCGTTAGAAGGATTAAAAAAGCTCAACGGTATCTCGAGTAATTTTACGAAAAAAGGCATGTAGTAGTGCGTCGGTCGACCGCGCGCCTGTCTCAGGGTTCGGGGAGAGGGGCGCGGCCGCCGGGAGCTAACTCTTCGAGCATGCGCCACGGCACCGAGAGACCGATTCTAGTGAAGGATTAATAAACTTCATTAGCAAACTCCGCATTCAATCAACCAAGTCAGATTGAAACCGTGAGAGGTGGGAAGGCAGGAAGCCGTGTGGAGCGGGGGCGTGAGAGCAGGGTACCTGCGGCGGACGTCCTTGTTGTACCGGCCGCCGTATTTGTTCCGCTGCGCCGCCAGCTCCGTGATCTCGGGGATCCAGCTGGCGAACACAGCCTACGATACACAGCAAAGACCCCGCGGTGAGCAACGGCCCCCCGCGCGCCCGCCCCCCGGCCCGCCGGCCCGCCGCGAACCCTCGCGCTCGCACAAGGCTGTGTGGCTTGAGTGTCGTCTGTCTGCGTGTGGCTGCGTGTGGCTGTGGCGTGTGGACGGGTGCGGGACTTGGGTGCCGTGCCGAGCTACGCTAGCGGGGCTACGTGACGGCAAGCCGTGATGGGACTCGTGACCGGGAGCATGCAAAGCCTGGATTCATACGCTAACTAATCGATGAACAGAACTTAAAAAGAAATCGGTTTCACCGGTTCCTAAACTAAGACGATGGGCATTCGGTATAGACGCATGGTAGACACGCACACGGGCGGACCGTCGAGGGCGCCTGCTGAGCCGGGCTCGCCCACGTGCTACGGGCGCGGTCGGGCCGGACCAGTAGCACGGGGCGAGGGCCGGCACGCTTGCGCCCTCTAGACCCGCGGGTGTGCGCGAGTAGATAACATAATACATCTGACGGCACTGAGCAAGCTTTCGTATAGGTGATGAGTTCACATCGTCTCGGGAGATCGAGCGACCCAGACCGGGCACGGTAACGCGGCCGCAGCTAGCGTCGCGCGCGTCGCGGAATGAATCGCTTTCTCTCGCCTCTTTCAACTTATATATCAAATTGATACCTTTTTCCATGTTCACGCTTCAGCTCGCCACTGTACTTGGACCTACTTCCTACCAGCTCTATAATTTCGGGAATGCTACTAGCGAACATTGCCTGCAACAGACCATGGTGTCGATAGGGAATCGGGCGTGTCGCAGACACCATCGCGTGGTGCACGACAATGTCCACTTGGAGTCTCGGTATACTAGGTGACATACAGTAGAGTGTAGCCGATAGCGGAGCGAAATAAAAATAAAAGGAACGAGTGTGTGTCTACCAGTGATGTGAGCAACTGAACACAGCCAGGCACAGGTGCGCATGCAGAGATCGCGAGGTGGGAGGGGAGAGGCGGCGCGGGACCGGCGCGCGGCGGGCGCCTCCGCGACAACTACTGTCTCGTACTGTCGCGTACCACTCGTACCACAGTCCCCGATACACATCCCGATACCCGATATAAGCACGGCCAGAGATCCTTCGGCAGCATATTCGTGGTAAGTATCACATAACAAAGCAAAAGAAAAACAAAATACACCCATGCAATAGAAATCGCTCCTTGTGAGGTTTCGTGTTACGAAAGGCGCTCCTTCGGTAGCGACGGAGTTAGCGAGAGAGTCGCGACACACAACTCGGCGTCGGCGCCGTTGTTCGCATGCGTCTAAGTGCGCTAGCCAGGCGACAATCATTCAACGAGCTGTGCGTTCAGTAACACATATCCTAAGTCCCATCGTCAGCTATAGAAATGGCTCATATCGAGCGTCCATTTAATTTCCTTTTGCTTTGTTATCAATCAGCATCATTATGCAAGGAACTGCAAGCTTGGAGTTCGATGACGCAAATGCAACGTAAGCTACATCCTCACGGACAGACAAGTCACCTTTTATTGTTTTTAAAATTAAATCTTGCTTCTCCTTGCAAAAATATTCAGTAATAGAATCAATATGAATTTAACAATTTTTATTTAATTAGTTATACATATATAGAAGAAAAAAGAAAGTGAGACTTACCAAGCCGACGAGCAGAAAAAAAACCAAAAATGTTCTGCCAAGTACTGTGTGACAGAAGACGTCACCGTAACCTACTGTGGACATGGTCACTATGAGAAAGTACACGCACGTCCAGTATGAGAGCGACTGCGCGTTGTCGAACTCTAGGGGGTCGCCAGAGTTCTCCAGCTGGGAACAGAATTACATGATCCCTTTAAAATTACTTATTACAAAACACAGAAGAAGAATTGTTGTTGTCTCTGTTTTGTCAAAGCTAATGACAGGGATGAAAATAAGTTTTATACAGATATTTTGGTGTGAGAAACCAATATATAGTCAGTAGATGTGTTTTTTACACGCCTCAATAGATGGCGCGAGAGTCTTCTTAGATCACGGTAACGACATACTTTTTCTGTTCTGAGTGAAGTAAGAGCGTCGGTGGCTCAGGGGTCAAGACTTGCATCCTGGGTTCGAATCCCGCCATGTACCAATGTGTTTTTCGATTTCCGATTTACATATGTACATTTATCCGACGTTCTTACGGTGAAGGAAAACATCGTGATGCAACCTGCACATATTATATCTGAGAAGAAATTCAAAGATATGTGTGAAGTCAACCAACCCGCACTTGGCCAGCGTGGTTAACTATGGCCTAATCACCCTTAACTCAGGGTAGGCTCCGAGACCCTCAGTGGGAGCGTACAATGAGCTGATGATGAATGTAGTGCACATTTCTAATTACAGATTAAATTTACAGAACTTACCAAATGTATGATACCGGCTGCGGTCAACCATACCGATATAAATATAGAAACTAATTGAGCCAGCCGTATCGAACTCGATGTCTTTAATATATTGAGGTACTGCAAAATATCAGGCACGGTCATTAAACGTAGAGCTCGGAGGAACCTCAGCCCTGGAAACAAACAAAATACTATAAAATTTACTTGCTTATTTCTATATCATGTTGAAATTGGTTAATGAAGTTAAAATTTCTGTAACTAACACAAAGATACACATCATAGATAAAGATGTATACACATTCTTCATCTATGTTGGTTCCAGTACGGTTCTTGGTTTAATTATAAAAAATCTGGATAACCGATTCCGATTCCGAGATTCCAATTATATATATATATATATATATATAAGAATTGCTCATTTAAAGATATAAGATTTAAGTGATGTTATTGTCAGAAAGCACCCTACGTCCAGATCGCTAAAATATGCACCCGATCCGATGTCCTCGGAAATATAATCTAATTTTCAATTGAATACTGATTGTGATTACAATTAAATATATTCAGAATAATAAAGAACTCTTAATTAATGGCAATAAAATATAAAATTATATAACTTACCTATCCACGTTCTATCCAGATATATCGATACAAAGGAGGGGGGTATTGTGAAATAATCTACAAATGAATACATCTCGAGCATGAACCATAGTTTGTCACTAGCTGCTATAAACTGAAAAAGAAAAAAAAGAATTTTAAACTTTCATAAGGCTATCAACTAATTAAAAACGGCTAAGCTCACGTTTACTGAGTCCGAGTACGGCCCTGGACTAATCACTCACTCTGAAGAAAGAAAGGTCTACGTAAGTGTAGCCGTTTAATTAGTTATATGAAATAAAAAAAATATAAAAACCTTAAAAATATAAATATATATAAAATCATGTTTTTAAACAGCATTTTTAAATCTCTTACATTTGGTTAGAGTTTTTTAATTTGTCTTATTTCAAAACCAAATCTTTTGTCATTTTAATTCGACTCTGTTTTTATGAAATTCGATTGTTTTTAATATTATAACTTTTCCACTGATAGCGACACATAGTTTTATAATCATTGTTATACTGATTTGTTTAATTAAATTATAAAAATTAATTACTTACTCGTATAAAAAAGTAGACCATAAAAAATATGTTAAAGGCAAGGTCGATCTGCTGAGTCATATTGTCACTCCATTTCTGGCAACGTTCCACTTCCTCACTGCAAATAGAAATGATAGCCATCACATAGTCGAAGTGTCGACAGCATAACATACATACGCCCTCGTTCTGACCAAATTATATTGTCCGGTACAACCCATGACATGAAAAGGGTTATATCTCTCAATTCCTTAACCGTGGCTTTCTGAGACTTAAATCTCTGTATAAAACATATCGTCATCCCTATCAATATCTCTGACAAAACAGAGATAATGTTCTAAACAGAGAATTCGTTTTCAGATACCCATGGTAAGAGATGTAACTCTTTTCATCAAGAAGTCGTTAAGAGTTATATCTGCAATAACAGTTAACAGTTATAACTCTACATAAACGGTCACGGATAAGTATTCCGGACAACAGTGCATAGTGCATTATATTATTTGAAGACATCGTACAACATATAGCAAAATTAAAAGCAACAGTGTTAACAGCCATTGTTATAAAAGCTTATATACAAGCGTTTATCAGCTCACATAACATCATGTACATAAGTTATGTATCATTGGTTAATTCAGTCATAACGGTGACGTAATCACGAAGCCACAGTCTACGTTACATTTCAGCTGACAAATATACAAGCTAAACACATAATGACTATGTCCAGCAAATGTGTTTGTACACATTTATATCAATTAAACTCACGTATTCCTTTATTCAGCATCGGCATTCACAAGATTTGCATTAATATTAGCGCTTAAGATCAAAATGTAAACACATAAATACGCATTGACTTAATACAGCGAAATTGTAGAGGACAGAGATTTATAGTTACTCTGTTATTAACTTTCACTATTTTATTTAGTGGTATTCGCTACGCTTGAATATATTGTCCTGTTTATTTTCTTAGAAAAGACAAATATAACAATTTACAATATGAGTTGGTAGTAGAAATCTTTAGTTAAAGAAACATCTATAGATAAACTAGCTGTAGCAACGACACAGTCCGCGTGGATATATAAAAAAACTTAATTAGTGTAGCCTATGTGTTCTTTCAGACTATGTTCTATATGTATGCCAAATTTAATCGAGATCCGTTCGTCCGTTCTAGAGATATCTTCAAACACCCATCTATCCATCCACATCACATCAATCTAAACATTCGCATTTATTATATTAGTAAGTTAAATAAAAAGCAGCTCTTCAAGGCATAAATTCGAAAAGAAAATGAATAAATAGTATCCTATGTCCGTCTCCTGGCTCTAAGCTACCTCCTCACCAATTTTTAGCCATATCGGTAAAGCCGTTCTTGAGTTATAAATAGTGTAACTAACACGACTTTTATCACAATGAACTTTGAATTGTATCGTAACCATACTCATATTATTTATTCCAATTCATTGTTAATTACGCTTATATAAAATCAGTGCGTATTTAGGATTTTTTAAGGGGAATTATATTTACCTGGACGCATCAATGAAGTAGATGATCAGCGATGCGATACTCAGGATGAACACCAACACTACCTGGAATTAAAAAAAAAACAGAACGCATAAGACCAATGGGTTACGGATCCAGGATCTTGATTTAGGATGTCGATGCCTTAAGGCCTGTAGCAAAATGTGATTAAATGATTTATGGAAAAGCTTTGAACATTGTGAGATTAAAAAGTCTTAGATTTAATTGAAACACTACAATAAAAGTCTGGTTATAAAATATTAGTTATTCTCTCCTTTCTCTCTATAATTGAATAAAGGTCAATTTCCAATTTATCACGGAATAATCTTGATAATTTGGTTGTGGGAGAGCGGAGCCATCTAGACCCTCATCCAACATTTCCATGCTTGGTCAAATTAATTGTTTTAGGTATGCAATGCAAAGAAACGTATGCGATAGGTCATATAATCAGTTAGGATAACGAGTAATATTAATATTAGAACTATTATGGATGTTTATATTTTATATTGCGTTAAAAGTAAACAAGCTTTTATTCCTCTATTCCAACGTCAACTAAGTTATAAAGCAATTTGTGTCAGCTATTTAGAAAAACAAGCTAAAAGTGCCTCAGTAGGATGTTGCGAGCACTCACTGTGTTCAGAATATTCTCCTTTAAGCGTCGCTTTGTGTTCGCAAAACTTGTCTCAAAGCTTAGCGAATGCTATACAAAATGGGTCTATCTAAGTAGCGCACCAGACACAAAGAACACATTTTATGTAACGCAGTTGAAATATCCAACGAATTGTGTTTAGATTCTTAGTATATTATTGGTCATATATTTTAGCATATTTCGGTAGCTTTTCGTAGCTTTAGATATTTAAGGGTCCTCTTTTTTACATTTTGGGTGTTTACAGAATTATCTGACACTGTGATTCGCAGTCTAGTGGCGCCCCTTTCTGTCCGGCACCCTGGTCGCCCGAATGCGCCTTACCCTAACGCCGGCCCTGTCTTCACTAAAATGATATTCGTTTAATAAAATTCAAATATTAATGTTAATTGAAAACATTTCGTAAGATCGTTGACCTCACGGGTCAATGGCCTTTTAAATATTAAATGTTCGAGTGTCTTCAATTTGTTTAAATATCACCACCTACGTATTCGTGGCCACTTTACGACCGGCTAACTGAAAATTTATGATGCATTCGCTAGTGTACTATAAGACGGAATTAAAATCTAACGTTACTAACTTTCAATCTGAAGGATTCGAGGATTATTTTTAATTATAAGTGTGTGGAAGACAAAGCGATCAAGATCATTCAATCACAATAATGATTCAATGCAATTAAACCCACATCATAAATATTAATACATTCGATTAATTTAAAATGTAGTCACATCATGACACTTAATATGCATTAGGAATCATGATGAGTCAGTGCGCGATGTCTATGTGATGTCATCCCGAAGGTGGGAGGTGATGTAATGTTCCAGATCTTTGATTCAGCAATGAATGTTTTGTCTGTGACTTTATTAACACTTTGAATTGAACTTTGCACTTAGTATGTGATAATATGAATCCATTTATCTTTTGTGTAATTTTTAGGCGCATTAAAGTCTGTTGAATATTAGTTTCCTTTGGTTCTTTTTTTAAAAAGATAAAATAGGATGACAATGTTTTTGAGTATTTCTGTGGTGTCGTTTAGTAATCGTCAAGACAAAAATAAAGACAATTTTTACTTTACCCGTACTTTTTAGGGTTCCGTACCTCATAGGAAAAAAGAACCCTTATAGGATCACTTTGTTGTCTGTCCGTCTGTCTGTCAAGACTCTTTTTCTCAAAAACGCGTGAAGGTATCAAGCTAGAATTTATATCAAATTTATATTATTCTAAGCCAACGCAATCAAAAGATATAACCGTTTATTCGGAACCCTCGGGGCGCGAGTCTGACTCGTACTTGACTAGTTTTTTTTATTTAAAACTTATCGGTTGAAAGCTACTTTTAGCATCTTTATAAGAATGTAGTCAACTTGAATGAATAAATCCAGCTCTCACTTTTCTAACTTGTAAAATTCTTTCAAAATTTGTGAACCACTAAACTTTCTATCACTTTAGAACATTTTATTGAATGGAAGTGGATGTATGTTTAAATCATCTTCAACTTTGCACATATCCGACGGAAACTCGATCGTGATTCAATTTTAAATCGCAGAGATTCTACACTGATCGTTACGTTTGCTACAAATCTAATTTTTTTTCACGAGCAATTAAAAATTAAACTATGACTCAATAAGGGAAAAATATTTATGTTTTTTTTTTAAATACATATTAGAAAACTAAAATTTTATCAACAATTAAGTTATAGGGGTCTTTTTTTGCTGGACGTGGAGAGGCACGCTCTAAATGTCGTTGCATACCTCTGTTTATTTTAGTCATTGTGAACCTAATATTAATGTCTATTGTTATTATTTGTATTCTGAAGTTACTGATGAATATAATACATGAACCGACTCATTCCTATGTAAAGTCGGAACAGTATGTACTATCTTACAAATAATATAAATGCGAATGTTTGAATAGATGGACGGATTGATGATTGTTTGAAGGTATCTCCAGAAACGATGTATGGATCTCGCTGAAAGTTGGTATAGGTGAGGAACATAGTCTGGAAGAAAACATAGGCTACTAGTTCTTCTATAAATCAGCCTTCATATCTGTATGCACACCCTTTTTAAACATATCTTCTTTCACACAATTCATCCAAACTTTTTTCCGTCTACGCCTACCTTTGTAGACAGCCAATCTCATTACTATCTTGTTTATGTGCCCGCGATCTCTTTGATTAATATTATTGGCAAAAATTTGGAATATCTATGACAGATTTTCTTTCATTCCACAATTTAAAACTCATTGACTTTGATGGACGTTTACTGGACGTATAGATAGGGCAGATGCATCCGTTGTGAATTTGTTTTTCTTTTTATATTGCGTCGGGCGAGTGACGCGGCAACTTCCGACGACGTGAATAGAAATATTGCTTTTGTGACCGGAATTTGATATACGATAACAGATTTATATTACGTTCACAATCCGCTGTCCGATCCCGCACCAAAAATGTTCTTAATTTTATATTTATTGTTCGTATCATCATCATCATCATCTCACTATAAGTCCCCACCGAGGGGTACGGAGCCTACCCTAAGTTAAGGGTGATTAGGCCATAGTCAACCACGCTGGAGCAATGCGGGTTGGTTGACTTCACACATATCTTTGAATTTATTCACAGATATGTGCAGGTTGCATCATGATATTTTCCTTCACCCTAAGAACGTCGGATAAATGTACATATGTAATTCGGAAATTGAAAAACACATTGGTACATGGCGGGATTTCGAACCCAGGACCTATAGATTGCAAGTCAAGTGCTTGACCCCTGACCCACCGACGCTCTCAATCTAAGAAGTACAGTTCTCGAAATTTCATGTATACGTAATCAATAGGGTTTCGCTTGATAGCGAAAAAGAGATTCTAAATCTAACTAGAACTTTATTAACTTCAGCTTAGTTAAGTAATTGATCTCTAGAACTAGCATCTTAATTAAACTAAATTTGTTATCAACCATATAACATTACACTTTTTTCCACTCCAAAGTCATCTTCTACAAAAATACTGGAAATTTCCTCCTTTCTTTCAAGCTAACATTTTCGTTGTTAAAAACTCTGTTTAAATATGTAACGAGGCCGACGTGCACTCGCGAGGGACAAAGTTTAGATGGGCCAAGTTTCATACTGACGTCTTTGCCACGCCTAAAGAGTAAAGTAGAAAATAAGTAATTTTTTAATTGAGTTTATCATGAAATGTTACCAATGCTACAAGACAGAGTTAATTTTGAAGTAACTCTTGATTCCCTCCTTTAATTCGATAGTTTTTGAATAGCTTACGTTGGAAAAAGTGAGGTTATCAATAAAAAAGAATTACTATCAACCTTAAACCTTAATATTCTAATTCCATCTATTATTGATATTTAAGGATGTAAGCGTAAACGTATGAATTTGTCCATAAATTATTATCCAACGCGCAAATACGAGGGAAATAAAAATATGGTCATGTTGCAAAAAACTGTTTAAATCAATAAAATTTTAAAGCGCAACAACCTAAATAATTCCAGTTAAAAAGCAATGCAATCTGCTTTGTCAGTTAGATGTTTAACCGCGATCTCTATTGGATTACCGGTAACGGGAACACTGAAGTCTAATCCTGTTATGCTACATCCAATTACTACGTTGATGAGCGCCATCTAGTGGCATCGCCTTGACTTAAGAGCTACGGAATCCGTTTTACGTTAGACAAGGTTATTTTCTTAGTTCAAGATTATTTTTCTTTACATAATTAATTTCTATATTAGCTTTGAAATTAATATTATATAGGAGTTTTAATCTTTATTTGTTTAATTTTCATACATTATCAGATCTAATACAAAAAAAGGTTTGGTTACGTAAAAAAGACATCAACGAAACTTCAGGATTCCAAATATAAACAAACAAGGATGCCCCAATGAAAGAGACTCTACCATCACTGTTAATTCAAGAAATATATAAAACCTTCATGGGCATAGAACGTAAAAGAAAAAAACAGTACATGAAAGGCAAGTGCAAAAAGGACATTGTGAGCCTTTTTAACATCGACAGGAGGGCGCTAGTGTGCTAACATAATGTAGTTAGATTTATGTATGTTCTATGTAAATATTTAATAGCAAACAATCGATCTAAACATAAAATTAAAATTAATTCAACACGCAAAACAATTCACATGATGCAACTAACATACTTTAATCGATGTTAATTATTACATTGGATAGAATTGCGCATTTGTATAAATGACATAGGATCTAAATATATCTTACTGCGTTTTATCTTACAATCACATAAATCAATTATATACGTCTTTTATTTACTATTCGTAATTCGCAGTTTGTTTTTTTGTATTATACATTGAAAATTTTGTAATTAAACGCTTAACTTTAACATTTCTAAAACATTTACGTTTAAGATATGTTAATTATGACAATTTTTATGGACTACAAAATTCACA